TTATCAAAGTTGAATTTAGTTCTCTTGTTCAAATTGTTTTTCTGGGATTATTCTTGATGAAAATAAAGTAGTTTTTGAATTCAAATTATTAGGTTCGATGATCAGAAAGTAAATAAAATAGGTCTATTAAGTTGAATTTCTTGAAGGTAGGCTAAGCCTATACAAAATGGAGAGTTCTCACCAGATCTTCAGTAACAGTGTCCAATTTATATAAATTTTGAGGTGGTAGTACAAATTTGAAATGAAAAAAAATATATATGTAAGCTAAACTGTTTTTCTGTAGTTAAGTTAGGTAATGTTAAGTTAAATAATTTTGATCACTGACTTTATAAATATTAGGGATTATACCCTCACTGAATTTAAGGTGTTGATGCTGCCATGTCCCAATAGAGAAGGAGGAAAATTTTAGTTTCACACAGGATGATCAGAGTTCATTGTTGAAGCCAGCTGTCTTCTTTCTTCATCACTTGCACATGCACTAATAATCAGGCTTTTAGATATTAATTTAATGTTGGGGTTTTAGAAATAATTTAGACTATATTAATAATTTTGGATAAAAGTGTTATTGCAACTATGGACTTAATTACAGGTTACAGGTTGTTATTAACAATAATTGTTGAATATATAGGCCTACAATATATTTTAAAATGTGATGATGGTTTCTGAGGGGTGATTAAAGGATAATATAATTTAAATTTACTATTAATTTTCTGACAATTTATTTAAATAGGCTATATGGCGAATTTTGGTACAATAAAAGAAGAAGAATTATATAACTAAAGAATGAATGTAGTGAATGGTCTAAAAATGACATGTAACATTGCAAGTTTTTTATCTGTCCAGTTCAGGCATTTGGAGTGATACCATAGACTAACCAACACAAGTAGACTTCTCATCCCATTGTAAATTTTGAAGCACGTTTTTCGTGTCTAGTTCATGTACGTGACACAAAGGCGCTAGTGTCGACGAAACTTTGTTTCTATTATTTTAGGGTTAATTTCTTGATTTGTGCTTTACTGTTTGGTTATATAACTAAGGGACAAGTTATTGTTTATGATTAGACCGTATTATTTGGTTAAACGAGGTTTTAAATGGCTGTAATAACGGGAAACAAATTGTAAACAAAACACGACCTCTACAGAAAACCGTACAGAACTAACAATAAAATTGGCTTCAGCTGTTCCATAAGGATGGGAAATCTACTAAGGGAGTATGTTTTATCTATGGTGATACCATTGATTGCACTCTCCGGTACACAGAACGCCTTTGTGTTTAACCCCTATGTTGCATATTCCACATGGATATTTTGACATGATTTATGGTGGTTTCTGATTGTCACTTTTTTAGGGGGGTTTAGTTTTTGGTGGTTGTGAAATAAATTTCCTCTTGGTTTGGTCAAATTGTTTAAGTGTTTTTTATCAGGAATATTATGTCAATTGATAACATATGTGCAGTCTTGCATTAGTAATTTGAAAGCACAGCTCAGCTCATGTTGGCATTGGTCAGTTATTAGCAGTATTTTGAGTGGGTTAGCAAAGATGGAATGTGCTGATTGTGCTCTGTCAGCATTGCTTGTCACCAGCTGTCACAGTTTTAATTGGTTTATTCTAGTTCTGTAAATAGTGTATTATTCATAATTCATAAATATCTTAGAGTTTTTCAGTTTACACTGTCAGAAGATTACAGAAGGTTATTCTCCATAAAAATAACATGGAAATTTTAAATTTACTTTTTTTTTTTGAATTTTCTCCTTAACTAATAGGCGCATAATAACGCTTCAATATACTAAATTGTTTATTTTTTTAAGCTCTACAAAATGGTTTGGAAAGAAATTGTGAAATTTTGTGTTTTTAGGGTCAAAAATGGGAAAAACCTATTTTTACCCAATAAACCCCCTATAAACCCCCGTTTCCATAGTCCGATCATGCTGGTTCGCGAACTCGTTCGAATAAATGTAGGTTTACACGTTTGTACAAAATTTCATCAAAATCGTATCATTTTTGTTCGGGTTATCGTGCTAACGGACACATATATATATGTGCATATATATATATATATGAGAAATTCGCTAAAACCTAACCAAAACTCGCTATATGATTTCCTTAATCAGTTTTATGAGAGAAAAGGCATATGGGGAAGGCCCTCGTGAGGATTCGCCACTACAGGGCTGTCCCTAGGGTTGGCGGCGCCTGGAGCAAACATGGTCGTGGCGCCCCCTCCCCCCCAGCAGCAATAGTCACATTCGCATATTTTAATACAATGTTAATACAAATACTATAGCCGCTGCGCGGCGCCCCCTCAGTTACGGCGCCCTTGCCCCGATTGCCCCCCCCCCCCCTTTGGACGGCCCTGCGTCACTACAATAAGTTCTTTGAAGTTCTATGTTGTTTTGTTCTAAGTCAAGTAGGCCTATTTTAATTGACTGTTACCCTTACATTAGTACATTAGTACCCTTCACAGTTCTCATTTTGCTACGTATGACATTGCTATGATCATAAAAATTAATAAAACTAATCTTTCAAACACAAGTGGGTTGCAAACAGTTCTGAGATGAAAGCTTGGTCCCCAGAGGTAAACGTTTAGGGACTGCTGTCTCACAAGCGTTATTATAAATCCCACTTAAAAATATAGTTTAGGCTAAATGAAAAAATGTAGTCTAATGATGGTCATGCTGAAACCCTGTGTTCTCCCAAAGTGTCAAATTAATTTGCGGGTTCTTTAAGTTAACTGGAAAACAAAGGTTGGCCGCTGTCTTCTAATGTTTCTCAGACATGATCTAAATCTTGAAAGTAGACTTCCTGGAAATCAGTCACGTCCATATGGAGTTGTGCTTCTGTTCACATTCTTCTTTTGCGGAGAGCTCTGTACGTTTAAACATTTTAAGTTTATCCTGGCTTCTAGCAGCTACTATGATTAAGCAAGCCTATAGTTGGGGACTTTTTGTTCGTGGTAGGCCTATTGTTAAAACAGTCTAGTCATATGAATTTTTATTTTTACTCTTTTTATTTAACTTTGTTGGTTCTAGATATATTTAGCGAATTTCCCATATAGGGAATAAGCTATTACCGTAGGTCTTATGGTAAGACCTGGACCCGGACCAATTTACTTTTTTATTTCGAGGTCTCCAGAGGCCAAAAACACCATCTGTTCAAATTCATATATATATATATATATATATTTATATATATCTATAAGTATAAAAGAGAATGTTTGTATATATATATATATATATATATTTGTTTGGCAGTGATAAACTCAGACACCGCTGAACCGATTGCCACGAAACTTGGTACATACGTGTAGAATTTCATGGAATAGGTTTATACACCATCAATTTCGTGATCCGTCCAATCGGCTCCGCCCCAGTGGCTCTGGAGTTTCCCATGTTAACCTTATGAGAAATGGAATTAATGAATCTTAACAGCTGTTTCAATTAAACAAGTTGGTTCTGTTCTATGATGTTCAATAGCATTAAAGTTACAAGGATTACCAACAGGGTGCAGCACTATTATTTCTTTTACATTTATGACAACAGCTAATTTGCAACGAAAAGGTGAGTGAGCGTAGCGAACGAACTTCAACCTGGAGGCGAGTTAGCGTAGCGAACGAGCTAACCCGAAGGCAAGTGAGCGCAGCGAACGAGCTCCAACCTAAAGGTGAGTGAGCGTAGCGAACGAACTTCAACCAGGACTTGATTGAGCCATGCGAACGAGATCATCTTGAAAATTAAGAAGTTAAACGGGGCAAAGCCCGCGGGTTACAGCTAGTATCCTATATATATACAATTGTTTAGATAAAGGGCTACTATTATAAATAATGAAGAAAGCATATTAACTCAGTACCCTGAAATTATTTTTATTTTTAAAACTCAACATGTTTCGGCCTTTAGGCCATTTACAAGAGTAACATTTAACCTCACTTCAAACACAAACAAATTAATTAACAAATAAACATCATGTGATGATCTTTACATATGATTTTTCTTTTTTCTTAAAATGCATAGTAATATAATCTTTGGTCATGGAATTTTGTCATAGATATATATAAAATTTTACTATGGTTGTTTAATTTATTCTCTTCTTGATGTTTGTGTTGACAAAATTCCATGACCAAAGATTATTTTACTATACATTTTAAGAAAAAAGAAAAATCATATGTAAAGATCATCACATGATGTTTATTTGTTAATTAATTTGTTTGTGTTTGAAGTGAGGTTAAATGTTACTCTTGTAAATGGCCTAAAGGTCGAAACATGTAGAGTTTTAAAAATAAAAATAATTTCAGGGTACTGAGTTAATATGCTTTCTTCATTATATATTTATATATATATGTGTGTGTGTGTGTGTCCGTTAGCACGATAACTCGACTAAAAATTATCCGATTTTGATGAAATTTGGTATAAACGTGTTAACCTACATTTATTTGAACGAGTTCGCAAACCAGCATTGATCGGACCATGGGAACGAGGGTTTATGGGGGGTTTTATGGGGTAAAAATGGGGTTTTCCCATTTTAGACCCTAAAAACATAAAATTTTAGAATTTCTTTCTCAAAAATTTTGTAGAGATTAAAAAAAGAAATAATTTAGTATATTGAAGCATTGTTGTATGCCTAAGGGTTACGGAGAAAATTCAAAAAGGGCAAATTTAAAATTCCCATGTTATTCTTATGGAGAAAATGAAAACTGTTGTGGTTGACTTTTTTATGGATATATTTCGATCAAATTTAGCAAATTTATTTATTTCATCCTATACTATTGACGTTTGGTCAAAAAACACTGTTTACCTTTTCCGTAGCAGCAAACCTAAGCACTCGTTAAATCTAATGTTATTTAAATTGGGAATAAATATTTCTTTTTTATGGAATATTTTAGTAAATATGTAATCAGACAAGTTGAAATTCGCTTAGTCTACAGGTTTGCTGCGGTGGGGGTATTGTACAATGGTGTGGATAACAAATTTATTTCAGTTACCATTTGATTGATAACCTATTTTTTTCTAGGAATGTGGCCTTTAGTCATGCTCCCCACCCGTCAAGTCAGATGCCTTCAATGAACAATCCGATTGCCAATTCACAAAGAGTGTCTGGACTTCCCCCTCTACCCCAGAGACCACCGCAGCTACACACACGTCCAGGGATGATGGGGGTACCACCTAGGTTTGCTAACTACGGTGGATATGGCATGGGCATGAGTCCATATGGCTCTATGTCTGGTTATGGAGGCTACGGTTATGGGTCATTTCCTATGGGAGGAGGTTTTGAAAATAGGTGAGTACTTAAGTTTTATTCTTTATTCACTCAATGACATTATGCTATGATAGCCAAAACATCAAGGAATATCAAATATACAATAGTAACTTAACTACCTAGAACAAATAGGCCTACTAAATTAAATAATAGACTAGTGATGCAACAAAACAAGTTTTAACAAACAACGGACAGAAAAAATTAGACCTTTTTAGCCTAGGTTTAATGAACCTACCTTTATCAAAATTATTAAACTTTAAATTTACTTGAATCTTTGATAGCTATCAAGTTTACAAAAAGTAAGTTTCAAATTATTATATATTTAATTTAATGTCTAATGAATTTAATATATGTCTTTAATCCAAAGAATACCGATGATTTCCTCCGAATTACCCTTTGAATTCAAGCAACTACAATTTCCTTTGCATCTTGCTTTTGCAATCACCATTTAGGCACACGGGCATCCCTGACTATCACCGGTTTAACCTTAGAAAATGCATGCTTTTCACATGGACAGCTGTATGTATGTTGCATGCTCAGTAGTTGGTAAGTCTAAAATTTAATTAAAAAACTAATAATTACAGTTCATCCACTGGCATTAAAGTAAAATAAAATATTTTATTTTTGGTTTTGGTATATTTTTTATTATTTATATATTAGCCTATAGAATATTCTTTTAGCTAACTTTTTTTTGTCTGTATAAATAATAACAACAGCTGATCTTTGTTAATATTAGTAATATTGTAAAAATAAACATTAATTTCCGGTTCTTCTTGTTACAATGACTTAATGAATTTTCTCTCTTAATTGTTCATTTATTTACAGTAATATGGTAGCTGTCATGAAGAGGAGGGTTTTGTTTCATTTCATCAAACATTTTTGCTTTTGTCTAAAACCCCATTCAGATGTCATCTCAAAGAAACTACAGAAGATAAATATTATATTTTATGAGTATCGTTTGAGATAAGTTATCTCAACAGAAATTGTTTTCCAGGTTTTTACAAGTGGCTGAAGAAGGCTCGCGGGATGCTTTTCAGTCTATAGAGTCAATAGTTGGTGCCTTCACGTCCGTCAGTATGATGCTAGAGTCGACCTACTACGCGATGCACTCGTCATTCCACGCAGTGCTGGGAGTGGTTGACAACTTTTCTAGACTCAGGCAGATGTTTGTTTCTATGCTCTCAACATTGACACTACTGAAAATTATAAGAAACTTTTACCGACGATTGCTGTATTGGCTCGGTAAGTTATAAATTCATTGTGAAAGATTTTTAACCCACCTAAAGATTTAACAGTTACCTTAAAAGTGGCCAAAGAGCTGACAGATGGTCAGTATTTAATATCGATTTTATAAAAAAAGGCACTCTATTCCTAATTGTTGATATTTATTTAATTTTTTAAATTTAGGCTTTGTAGTAGACTCCCTCTTATCCGGACATCGGTTTAACTGGACTACACTCGGCGGAAATGACATCTCTTTAACTGTACAATTTTTATCAGCACATCTTTTTACTGCTTGGCTCCTTTACTTTACTGTGGACACTATTCAATGTATTTTGTACAAGAGATGAATAAAGAAGTTTTGAATTGAATTGAATTGAATCGCTTTAACTCGGACTAGATTGGCAGGAAGTGGGCAGTACTGAAACGACTGTTCCTGTGGGAAAGATTTGAGACCAGTGATCATGTGTCTAAATACAATGCTCTCCAAAATTTAAGTCAAATATTTGGGTTACATAACTAGTTTTTGGGGACATCGGTTTAACCGGAAAAACCATTATCCGGACTGGCCTCGGTCCTGAGGAGTCCGGATAAGAGGGAGTCTACTGTAGGTCTTTACCATATAGTCCTAAATCTTGTTTATTATTTACTGATTTCCATGGCACAGTCCAACATCTCAATTGAAATGAAAAAGGCACTTGTAATTATTATTGACACACATCAACTATGTATTATAAAAACAAAACTAATCCTTACATTAACTCAATGAACCACAGCTGTTTTATTGCAATTAAAACAGATTTACCGTTTTTCCAGGTGTACTAGACCATAACCCTCAAGCAGATCGTATATGGGACTCTGTACATGATTCTGCCGAGAGGGAAGGTGCGATGCTTCCAGGGGCCAACACTTCCAAATGGCCTCTGATCACCTTCCTTGGATTACTGTTTGGTGGTCCGTACCTCATCTCAAAATTCGTGTCCAGTCATTCCAGTGCGAGCCAGAGTGAGTAGGTTCAGCTGATTAGTGGATAGATTATTGTGTTATACAAGACGATCCAATTCTCAAACCAGTGACCTTTGGGTTTGAAGGTAACAATTTTCATCACTAAGCTACCCAGATTGTTTTATTTTTTCTTTGAACAATCTTTATACTAGGCTACCTTTTTTAAGAATCTGAGGACTTAGTATGTCTACAAATGCCAACTTAGATTAGTACCATTGAGTATACATGTACTAGAGTAGATACCAATGGAGGTCACTGTTGCCTGAAAAGCGCTGTTGCAGAGTAGCGTCAGCGGCTCGAAGTACTCCATCTTGGGCCATGTCAGTAAAGCAGTTTGGTATCTTGGGCCATGTCAGTAAAGCAGTTTGGTATCTTGGGCCATGTCAGTAAAGCAGTTTGGTTGTTTTTAGACCCCCCTAATCCCCTAAGCAAACCCTAATCTTCATATAGAATCAAATAGTCTAAAGAAACTCAATGTAGAAGAGTACCAATAAATTGATGATTCGCTTTACTCGGTTAGGTCTGTGGGATCCATTGGAAGGATTCAACGTGAGGACTGCGTACCCACACCAGGCTGGCACAGAGGCGGAGCTGAGTTTTCAATCCAACGAGGTGTTGAACCTTGCCCCGAGGGAACAGCAACTCTACGAGAACAGCGGCTGGCTACTGGCCGTAAACCAGAACGGACAAGTTGGCTATGTCCCCGTTACCAGGCTGGCTACTGCTAAAGCAGCCACGTCTAACGCCAACCCCGCTACGCCACCCAGTGAAAGCGTTGTCACCCACAGTAAGTACTAGGCCTTTTTTTGTGATTTATAGATTTTTTTATAGTTTGTGTCATTGTTAGCACACGTTGATTATTTCTTGAATGTTAAAAGTTTTTTTTTAAGAAGGAAACAAACCACTTGGAATATTTTAAGAAGAAGGATACACTTACTCAAGAAGACGGTTCCAGACAGTTAAAAGCAGATAATAGGTTTAAAATACAGTTAATTTGATATTTCACCCTTTTTTTTGAAATGTAGAACATGGAAAGCTGTCCGGAGCTGTCTGTGGAATTCTATTTTCCATGGTTTGCTAGACACCCTTCTTAATGTATTGTTACTAACAATAACAACATTGTTTTAGTCCGAAATAGGATTTTATTATATTCATCTTTATAGATTTATTTTTATTTTACTGCGGTGAAAAATATAGTTTTTAAGTTACTTTGTAGGCTACTAAGTCTTTATTGTTCTTAGGCTTTACAAAAAAAACATATATTTCATCCTCATTTTGCTGATCATGTGCAAAACATATTATATCTGTTGTAAAAATGCATTTAAAATGTTGTTAAGTTACTTTTTGTAACCTTTAATTTCCATTATTTATAAAATGGAGGAGCTAAATCAGTCACTTCATTTAAGGGTTATCCCTAGATTTTGATAAAACCTTAACTGAAGTCAATTATTTAACTCCTTTTATGATAGTAATTTTTATCCAAAAACCAAAACTAGTTTCCCCTACTTCAACAAAGGAATACTTTATGCAGGTATGTAAACCTACACAACTTTTTTCTGTTTCTAATCCATGTAAATGATTTTCAGCTTCAGAATCTCATTAAAGACAGTGGTACATGAATGGTATTGTCTTCCTCTTCTGGAGTTCAACCAACTACTCTAGTCTCTTCCAATGTTACTTGTTATTTCTCTGTTGTTAGTTTATACATGAAATATTCCTTTTTATATCAAATGAAGAATTTAAATATAAGTGTAGAATATGAGTGCTTTTAAGAAATATGTTGACATTAACTGTTCATGCTATTCGAACAGTAGTTTTAGTCACATGGGGCACGCAGGTTCATGCCATGAGTTTGTGTGGCGAGGAAATTGGTTTATTGATAAATGTTTTTGGATTTGTTTTTATTCAACAAGTACAAGAATGTAATCCATACATTCCAATTCCGTACAACGGCCATACGGTAACGGATTTGGTTTTCCAAAAAAGCCATCACGTACTTACTCGTTTACTGTAATCTATGTGTTAGTAACATTACACAGACAAGTGACTGTAAAACTTAAGATGGATCACTTAATCGTAGACTAGAAAACTATTTTTATTATTTTATTCTAAGGTGTTTAGTTGTAATTGTGATAGCCGGATCTTGTAATACCCATAGATAGTGAATATTTAGTATTTTTCCAAGAAATGTGGCTGGACTACTAATGTTTGTAAAAAAACACGGGCTTAATAGGAAATGTGTACAATCAGGTATGCAAGTAAATATGAGTAGAATGCAGCAATGCTCAATTATTTTGTATTTCTTTTGGTTTTTTGAACTTTTGTGTTGGACAAGTATTGTAAATTTTTTAAACTATTTTTTAATGTAAACTAGTAAGTGTTTTGCACCATACAGCATTCATTTAGTAATTTTTCACTTTTTATATTACAACTTTTTTAGACATACAGGGTCTTTTGTTTTAGGGATCCAATCAATTTTTGAAGCATTGTTTTTGGGTCAGAAGCCAATTGAAGCGTCATTATGATATTTTATCAGACAGTCCTCAGTTACTTCCTGAGTCCTCATTTAGTTATGAAGCTTTATCAAAATATTCAATGAATTCTAATTTTTAAATTCCAAAATGTAGCCATTTCATTTTTTGCATTTACATTATATGCAACGGTTTTTATCAAAACGTATTAAAATAACGTTACGGTATGTATTTATGAATAATATTTTACGTTAAATTAAAATTTATCTAATTTTACTATATAACAAAATGAATAAGTTAAGAAACAACTGAATTTCAATGATTTTTAAAGGAACATAAACAAGCCCCACATGTACTTGGGATCTTTACACGTATTGTTTTTTTTTTTTTACTTTTTGTGTAGATAAAAAAAATTTCACTTACTCTTGCCGGTATTTGAAAAGCTTATAATTAACTCAGAGGACTTAAATCAACTTAAGTGTTACCAAATATAAATAGAATACTGCCAAAAATAACTTATGTGCAAGGTAGTTCGGAAAGCATTGGTATAATGTAGGTTTTGTATAAACAATCTTAGAGAAGATCGCATGAAAAGTCAAATGGGAAATGCCACGTTTGGTATGTTGAGTTAAAATGGAGGTACTAATTCCGTTCATGTACAGCCTACTTTTAGTTAAGGCAATAAATGAAAATGGTTTTAAGTCTGAACTAAAATTTGTTTGTAATGTTTCCCTTTGCTTGTAACCTCTTTTGTTATTCACCATGCTGATGAGCTCCTAAAATATTCTTTAACATCACCTGTAGGAAGAAATCCCATTGATTTCTTTGAACTATTCCTACCATATGCTGGGTTGTTTATCTGTTAGTTAAGAAGATGATACGGTTACTGTAAATCTCTTTTAATAAATGATACAACATTTTGTTTAGTAATGCCTTCTTTATACCCTACTGAACTATCTGAATAAAGTCAACGAATTAAATGTAACATAAAGCGTACTACTTTTTTGAATAAAGCGTAAACGAACCTCGGAGGTTTTCATCACAATGGAAACTGCTGGAAATAGCTGGATGGGATCAGCTAGCTTACCTGGTAGACAGAGTCCAGATTAGCCTTGATTACACATAAAACACATGACACTAAAGCCCCTGTCACACGGAGCTGGTTCCAGCAGCTGGTTCTTGCTGCGAGATCCAGCAGCTTTAGTTGCTAGTTCTCCAGCGCGCTAGAAGTCCTGTCAGACGAAGCTGGAGAACTAGCGCTACAACTTACAAGTTTGGTGATATAATTGGAACTGACTGTGTAGTTAACAAAAATAATGTCTTCTGTTGCTATTAGAATTGATGTTTTGTCTATGATCAGCTATCATAAAATTAAAAAGTGCAAGGAAAAAATATACTTTTAATATATAAACACTATTATTCTGTATCTACTACGGGCATGTAAATTAACTAATTAAAATCAAATAAGTTGTGGTAGGCGTATAACAAAAGGACTTTATCTTTCAAGAACACATTCATTTAATTAATATATGTGAGATGTAGCAATCGTAACAACGAGAAAATTACGGCAATGTATGAACAATTTCTAAACATGAAAGTTTAAATTTATTCTTGATTATTTTAAATGTGTTTACCTTACCTACCTTACCTCCTTGGCCATTGAAACCTCAGAAGGTTTTTGGCCTCGCCAACGATGCTTCTCCACTCTTCTCTATCCACCGCCCAAAACAGCCACATCCTTCAGCACCTGACTCCTCCATCGCAGTCTCGGCCTGCCGAGTGGTCTTCTGCCTTCTGGTTTGTTCTGGTCCACAGCTTTGATCAATGATGAGTTCTCTCTCCTCCACACATGTCCAGCCCATCTCAGTCTCCTGCTTTGTATCCTTGCTACTACATCTGGATGGTGATACACATCTCTCAATTCTCTATTCTTCCTAATTCTCCAGCCTTCTTCATCTTGAATTGGTCCGTATATTTTTCTGAGAATCTTGTTTTCAAAAATAATAAGTTTCTTTTCCCATTCTTTTGTTAGTGCCCATGTTTCCGATCCATATAGTAGTACTGGAAGAATGATGGAGTGATAGATTTTAATTTTGGTATTTTTGGACAGAGTTTTTGACTTAAGCATATTGACTAGGGACCAGTAGGTTGCTGAGGCTACAATTACTCTATTTTGGATTTCTTTTTCCTCTTTGTTATCATGTGTTATTGTTATGCCGAGGTATTTAAACTCATCCACATGCTCAAACTCCAAATCATCCACTTTAAAATTCTCTTTCCTGGCTACTCCTTCGGTTCTAGCCACATTCATATATTTAGTTTTTTGATGGTTTATTGTTAGCCCAACATGATTGGCTTCTTTTATTAGGACTTTTGTTAAGCTCTCAAGATCCTTTTTGTTTTCTGCAAGAAGTGCCACATCGTCAGCAAACGCTAGCACATTAATTTTGGTTCCAATATTAATTCCTGCTGCTAACTGTTTAGTCTTTTTGAGGGCATCTTCAATCACTAAATTAAAAAGGAGGGGCGAAAGGCCATCTCCTTGACGCACTCCTGTTGTTACTTCAAAACTTGAAGTATATTCTCCATTTATTTTCACTTTGCAGCGTGATTTTTGAATACACATTCTTGTCAGGTTAATAAGTTTGTCAGGTATGCCAAACATTTTCATTTTTTCATACATTTTCTTCCTAAGGACACTATCATATGCTTTTTGAAAATCAATGAACAGTAGGTGGACTTCTTTATTATATTCCCAATATTTCGAAAGAGATTGTTTGATAGTAAATATCTGGTCCGTTGTAGAGCGACCTTGGATAAATCCAGCTTGGTGGTCTTCTATATTTTCTTCTATATATACTTTTAGCCTATTTAGGATTACTTTTGACAGTACTTTATAAGCTGAGCTTAAAAGAGATATACCTCTGTAATTGTTACACTCCGTTATATATAAACAGGAGCTGGTTTTCTCGCCGCTAGTAACTAGCAGCTAGAACCAGCATAAAACCAGCATCGTGTGACTGATTCTCCAGCTGCTAGAAACACTCACATGAGCTGGTATCTCTAGCCACTGGAGGTTTTAAACGGTTTAATATTACAAGCGCTTGAAGAGTCACTAGCAGGTCATGTGACCACCCAGCTGTGGTCTCTAGCACCATTCCAGCTCTGTCTGAGAGTATCGTGCTAGTTCTCGCATTAAGAAAAATGTATTTAAATTAATTGAACACATTTAAGCTAATCGAAAATAAATTTAAACTTTCATGTTTAGACATTTTTCACGCTTTGTCATAATTTTCTCGTTGTTATAATTGCTACATCTTACATATATTTTAAATGAATGTGTTTTTTTGTGTTGTTGAAAGATTAAGTCCTTATTTTATTCGCCTACCACAACTTTAATTAGTTAATTTGCATGCCGGTAGTAGATACAAAATAATAGTGTTTTTCTACATTAATATTTTATTTTTTCGTGGCACTTTTTACTTCTATGATGGCTGATCATTGACAAAACATCACTTCTAATACCAACACTTTTTTTTGTTAACTATGGAGTGTGTTGTTACATCTAATTACATCACTAGCAGACTTGTAAGTTGTAGCGCTAGTTCTCCAGCTTCGTGTCTCACAGGACTTCTAGCGCGCTGGAGAACTAGCAACTAAAGCTGCTGGTTCTCGCAGCGAGAACTAGCTGCTGGAACCAGCTCCGTGTGACAGGGGCTTTAATATTTTGTCCCAGATAGGGACTTCATCAGAAGCTAACTGGGACAAAATATTAGGGTTTTCTTTGTTGTGTCATGTGTTTTATGTGTAATCAAGGCTAATCTGGACTCTGTCCACCAGGTAAGCTAGCTGATCCCTATCCTTGTACAATAATCCAAAATCCTAACATAGTTGGATGTTGTACGTTTAAACAGTCTGCAGAAATATAGTTGTATTTATTGTAAGACACGAGACATGATCATATTAAGATTCAGATTCAGCTGATAATTATCAGCATTATTGGCAATATCACATCAAAAGGGGGTTGGGATGATGAACTTGACAGGCAAATATTTTAAACATATAAAAGTGTGTTTATTTGACACAAAATACAATTTAAATATTTTTTTATAATACAGACTTATAATCTAAAAAAAATCTATTTATAAACTCCTATTCTGGATACGTGTCTTAAATTTATTATTTTAAAATTTATGCATCCCTTTCCACTCTTTTTTGAGCTGCCAACTGCATATTTTTAAATAAAATCAAAATGTGAAAACAATATTTGAAATATACAGTAAAACCCTGTTAATCCAGTATTGGTACAAAACATAATATATTACTTTAAAAAATCCTTCCAGGTCAGTTGGCCTGACTAATGGCCAGTTGGCAAAGATGACTAATCTTTGCACACCATTTTGCACATCTGACAGTGTTATTATTTTAGGGAGATTTAAAAAAATCACTACTCTAAAAATGTTACAACTTACAGAGCAATAACAAAAACGATCATAAAAAATGTATCAACGACAACAAAACCAATTGTAATCAAATACTAACTATATTCTCTTATGTACACAGTTTGTCAGTAAACAATTCACAGTAAACAATTTTTGTACTCAACACGCCACAAGTCCACATTCTTAATTTATTTCACCTATCAATCGATGGTTTCAATCATCGTAGTGGTAACAATGCCTTCTGCTTTTAGTCTGCTCAGCATCGGCCGGTAAATGTGAGGTGCCAGAGGGTACACCATGCCTTGTTCTTGTATCTCTCCTAAATAGCAAAAATATGTTAGTGAACAGTTAATTCTTTACAGTATCATAGTATAGAAAGAACAATTTTAATTTGATGAGAGTTTGTGGCTCAGTAGATTAATTTGAGAAGCTCTTAATTTAATGTTTGTGCATTATAATTTTAACATGTCCAAACAAATACAGATTAAAACATGCTAGTTGGATTGTAAAAAATGCAATAGAATATGAAATATAATTTAAAGTGAATTTCTATGGAGGGGGTTTTAAATATGCATTTAATTGTTGTGAAAGGGATTTTTAAAGTGAAGTTTATAGCTGTGGATGGGGGGTTTAAAAGTGAACTTAGCTGCTGGAGGGGATACAGTGTAAAAAGTTCATTTAACTGAAGTAAAGAGGATTTTAAAAGTGAACCTTATGTGGAGGGGATTTTAAAAAGGTCACTTAATTACAGTGGAGGGGATTTCAAAAGATGAATCACAGTGTAGGGATTTTAAAGTGAACTTGATATGAAGAGGATTTTAGAAGTCCACTTACAGTAAAGGGACTTTTACTGATTCGTTTAGGTTCAAAATTAACATTATAGTTAAATTTACAATACAACTATGATTCTCGTATCATGAATGCTAAAGCAGCAAATCTATTGAGTTGAACTTTGCTTATCGCAGCGTAAAGACTTGTTAAAAGGTGTTACTGTGTTTTGTTATTGGCATAGTTTTAGCAAAGATCATACCGTCAAGAACCATCTTAGCAGCTATTGCAGCAGGCAGTCCAACAGTACGAGCCATGGCCGTCGTGCCTCGACCATCTCCATACTCTACCATGGAGATGTCACGTCGTTCCCTCTGGCCTCCACTCCAAGTGATCTCCAGAACATGGCGCAGAATGACAACATCACGTTCATGCTCTCCTGTAACCGGTAAGGATATAAAATGACGATTCCCTTACAAAAAATATTAAAAACTCAAGCAACTATTTTAACTTTAATTGATAACATTTAAATACATTTTTACATGTATTATTTGATGATTTTAGCGAATTTCCCATATAGGGAATAAGCTATTACCGTAGTACTCATGGTAAGACCTGGACCCGGGACCGATTTTTTTTTCGTTTTGAGGTCCCTAGAGGCCAAAAACACCATCCGTTCAAATTCATATATATATATATATATATATATATATATATATATATATGTGTCCGTTAGCGCGATAACTCGAGCAAAAATGATCCGATTTTGATTAAATTTGGTACAAACGTGTAAACCTATGTTTATTCGAACGAGTTCACGAACCAGCATGATCAGACCATGGGAACGGGGGTTTATGGGGGGTTTTATGGGGTAAAAATGGGTTTTTCCCATTTTTGACCCAAAAAAAATCAAATTTTGCAATTTCTTTCTAAACTATTTTGTAGAGCTTAAAAAAACAAATAATTTAGTATATTGAAGCGTTATAATGCGCCTAATGGTTACGGAGAAAATTCCAAAAGATTGCAAATTTAAAATTCCCATGTTATTCTTATGGAGAATAAGTAAACTGTTGTAGTTTGCTTGTTTATTAACATATTTTGCCCAAATTTGGAACATGTTTTTATTTCTTACTAACAATTAACATTTTACATAAAAAACACTTTTACCCTCCCTGTTGCAGCAAACCTAAGTATGTGTTAAACTGATTCTATTTAAATAGGGATAAATGTGATATTTTTAAGGAGACATTTTAGTGTAAATCCAATCAGGCAAATGGAAATTCGCTTAGTCTGCAGGTTTGCTGCGGCGGGGGTATTTATTGTTTACTGTGATTGTACCAACATCTGTTACCATATCTGGCGGTCTCGCCGACACTGCTAATCGTCCCTCACTCGCAGTCGTGGCAACCTAAGTGGCAACCTAATTGGCTGTTTGGTCAACCAATGTTTAGGATGCTTGACGCGTCAGATAATCAACGCTCTACTGTACATAGATTAAAAACTTTCAAGATTTGCTATTTCTTGTTTTGACTACAACACATTTATCTGTGTATTTTTTTTCCCAACTTTATCTGGGTTTATTTACTCATGTTATGTTATAGGTTCAGATAGGTATAGTTACTTACCTAGACTCAGTCTGCCACTGAGGTAGTGAGATAGGCTGTCCAGAGGATTGCCACATTTGACTACTGGAACATCATCCAACACTCCCAGCTGTTCTACGGCCCTTAACTGTGCCTCACCTACTCGCTCACTCACCTAGCAGACGACAATTGTGTCAGTCTATATAAAAATGTATCGTTTTAGAACAAAGTTTGCTATATTTACAACTAGTTGATAGCAGTGCTCAATTTCTAAAAATGAGGAGTTGGAACAGTAACCTATTTAATGTGATTTGTACCCATTTATTTACCTATTTATGCCAATATATATATATATATTTTAAAGAGAGGTACCGGAACTTTGTTCTGCCGATTTCCCCCACAAATTGAGCATTGTTTGATAGTAAAAGTGTGTATTACATGAATTTAAAATATAATTAGCTCTGCTGGAAGTTAACTAGATTGCTGCATTTGTGAGTTACACCTCAGATCAGGAATTTTGCCACTTTTCCTTAATCCTTACTGTATCCACACAAAAATTGTTTAAAAAAATTATTTGGAATTTTGTTTGATTTTTAGGAAGATAAAAATTCAGTAGGCATCGTAGTTAAATCATTGAATTCATGCAGTTAGAAGGATTAAACTTGTTTCATTAATTTCATGTAGATTTTAAATACTTTACCTTGCCCTTGAGGTTTTCATAGAAAATATCTGCATGAGACAATCCAAGTAATGTGCACATCAGTTCTCTCTGAAAAAAGTTACCTATTTACATACAAATCATAATTTCTGTTTAATTTGATAAAAAAATATACATTACTGTAGGCTACTTATAATAGTCAAAACTTTAGAATCAGTTAAGAACAGGCGTGGAAAAGTTTGGGGGTGTTGCCGCATGTCTTTAGTCGGCTACTTTTAAGTGCAAAAATTTACTTTGAACAGTTAGAACCATTCATTTTTTTCTTTAAACTGAAATAGTATCTTCCATTAGATTTGTAAGCATGTTAAACACTGCGTACTAAATTCAGGACCAGTTTCTAAATAGAAGAAAGAAGCTGTCGTGTCCTCAAACAAAAACAATTTAAAAGATGCTCTTAAATTTTTTACCAGAAATCTAAATAAAATTTGGATTATGGATAAAAGTAAGAGTTTGTGTATACTAGCTTTATATGTAACTTAGTGAAACTTTTATGTAATTCTGTAATAGCATTTCAAAATATTGTAACAAAACCATCATTCATAACCCGACATACCCATGTGATGCTAGGTCCATCTGGATGGAGTGCAGGATGAGCTGTCAAGTCAATAAGTCCTAGATGTTTTAGAGCTTCCATAGTTTTTAGAAAACCTAAACATATACAAAGTGATTAACAAAGGATTCACCTCAATAGGAGAATCCAGTAAACAATGTAACCGGTAGGCGGTAAGTAGATAATTTCACACTTATACCTGATATCCTTAATATTTTCAAAGATTATGTTTTATGGTGATTAGGATTAGGTTAATAAAACTAATTTTAGTAAATTAAATTTGTTAATGGTAGATCTATACCATAAAGAGTGAGTTTAAGAGTCAGTAACCATTGGCATTCAAAGACCCGACTCTGAAGTTAAAAGATAATCTATTGTAAACTTGTAAGCACTGATATTAGGAATTGTTATTAAACAAATGTGTTTTCTAAATGATTGGGATATAAAGATACATTTCCAAATTACCTCTATACCGTAATGTCCCTCTAAACATTGTGTGACATTCCGCCGCTACTCCGTACAACTGAGAGTATCGCAGACTGTCTCGGTTCGGGTAACCTTCCAGAGCAAAGCCTGGCAGGAATTCCAAGTCTTTACCACTCTGGAGTAGTTCCCCACCAGCAGCTACCTCGACCACCTTCAAACATCATAAAAAAATTTAATAATTTAATAATTAAATCATTAATCATTTAAATTTAATCATTTGTTAGAGCCGGGTTTTTCTAAGCGCGGAAGCAGAACATGGAACGCATACTCCTCTTGTCTTAGGTAATGTAATGGTGGTTTATCGTTTTTCCGCGCCTAGGAAAACCTGGCCTAGACTATAAGTAAAAATTATTAAAATAAAATCACTTGCTGTAATGTATTTGAAATTTGGTAAAAGACGGCAAATGAATCGTAAAAGTGGCCGACAACCTCTTAGAAAGATATAACGTGTGTGCGATGTTGACGCATACCAATGCCGTGGCCCTGTATAATGCATTAGAGGAGGCAATGGTAACTGGTAACATAGCTACTGGTAACAAATGGCAACTTGCTCTACTAATTAGGTTGCCGGTTTGATTCTAATACAAACCGAAGCTTTTAGATGGTTTGAAACCGGACCCAGTTTTCAGGGTTATGACGAAAGCTCCTCGTCATATCCCTTATAACCAGGGCTTATAACCAGTCGATCTTAGTGAGTAACATTCATTCATTCATTCGACACTCATCTTCGCCTTAAAATACCCTCTCTGTTGTGTCTAATCTACACTTAAGTTTCATTCGTATTCTGGTCAAAATGCATAGCTTGTTTAGTGTCTCTATGATGATACCTTGGAGTTCTCGAGGTATTTAGCATTTCCCAAGACGTTGAGCAGCACGCCCCTAGGGGACCAAGAGAACTTGTAGCGTAGAGGGTTGTTGGAGTGTTCCGGGGCTGGGAGGCCTCCGCAGTACGACACGTAAGACTCCACCTTGCCCCCCGCCTGATGTACCTCGTCTATACACTCCATGGCCAACAGATGGTCAATGCCCGGGTCCAGACCTACCTCATTGACTACCGTCACTCCAGCCTCCACGGCCCTGTAAATAGTCAGTTTGGAAATGCTAATGCTTTTTGTATTTTTTTGGCAATATCTACGCAAGTGGCATTTTTCCTAAAGAAACTCCAACGCTTTTTTTGGAAAGTGATTCAAACTGCTCAACATTTAGTAAGGGCAAACAAACTTTCCCCTCTGGTACCAAAGTTTGTTAAGCTCTAGGCTTACAACACATCCTACTGTGTTTTATTTATGGTAATGAAAGTAACAGCCATTTTATACTTAAATGACTTAAGTATAAAATACTTAAGTCATGCATATCCTAAGCATGGGGGTCTTACTTTTCGTGCAATCTCATCATCTCCAGTGTGCAGTAGGACGCAGTAACCATGTGAGTGTGGTGGGTGATGCAGGCTTCTGCCACTAGATGGTGCAATTGGAAGGGCAGTAGGGACACCACCAGGTCGGCGCTCTGCACCAACTCGCCAACATGGTCTGGTCGTCGCACAACATCCACCAACACTGGCTCTACTCGCTCAAACTGGTTGGCTAAAGTCGAAACTTCATCCTGCACTGATGAACCTGGCCAGACAAAGTATATGATTACACTTGAAATACTTGAAATTATTTGTTGTATTCATTTTTTTCCAATTTTTAGATCTGAAAATGGAGCTAAGAAGTTTCAAAACTAGTTACCAGTAACACAAAACAGTGGATCAACAATGACAAAGGTACGCGGATTCTATTTTATCGTGAAGACAGGCTGGTCTAGTGGTTGAACGTGGGGCTTCAGTAACAGAAGTTCCACAATTAAATCCCTCCAATCGACCAATATTGCTTAAAGAGTAACAAGCGGCGTTAATAATAGGCGGTAATGCCACGACCTTCTGGGCCCAACCAGGCATAGGCCCAGAATTACTGCCGCTTATTACAGAACAGAAACAGAACAGAAAATTTGTCAAAAAAGTACTATAAAGTCTACGTTAAAATATATTTTTATGATTAATCAGTGTGGCAGATTGCGTGTAATAAATATAAAGGTTACTTACAGTCTTCGCAATCCTGTTAGTTGAGCACTACGGCCGTTTCGGAGATAACTCCATCGTCGGGTGCGTAGTCATTATACACTAATCTGAGCTATTTACATATTTACATTTCTTACGTGGTTTCTTCATTTTCATTGCGTCAAAGTTAAATAAATAGTACATACAACACAAAACACGGACACGACACGAAAACATTAAGGCACGTGCACGGCTAAAAACTGACGACCGACTGAACGAACTTTATCACTGCAAAGGTTTGGTGGACGACTGGAACAGCTGATAACACGTGTACCAACATAGCTGCTCAAATTATACCTTGTCCTGTTTGATTTGTATTATTTTCTCAAAAATTGGATTGGCTGCTGAATTAGTCTGGGAATTAATTATTAAGTTCGGTTCTTTAGCTGTACTGGTGTAAATGTGGAAATTTTCAATACAATTAAGTTTGTGACCTTTGCTACCAATGTGGAGTATTTCTAAACTATTAATTTCAGAGTAGTCGTGGCAATACTGTTGGATGTGTTCTGCATAATTTGAGACAGGATTTGGTTTCTTGATAGCACTTATATGTTCTTTATATCTGGTCTTAAAACATCTACCAGTCTGTCCGATGTAGTAGGAATCACATTCTCCACATTTAAGCTTATACACGCCCGACTTCTCTATGCTCTTTGCTTATTCAAAGGCAATAACAGACAAATTGACCTGTTTGGGAAATATCTTAATAATATCCATCCTAGACTTAAATTCACAATAGAACATGAGAAAAGCTCCTCTATCAATTTCCTTGACCTGACAATAACAAAATCCGATAACAAACACCTTTTTAATATTTATAGAAAACCGACCAGTACAGACACAACCATCCATAGCAGCTCTAATCACCCCCACTCTCACAAAATTGCAGCCTACAATTCAATGCTCTACAGATTGATTAACATACCTTTAAGTGAAGAAAACTATAGAAATGAACTTAACACAATAAAATACATTGCCTTGAATAACGGTTACAGCTCTGACATGATTGATAAACTACACAGGAGAATCAAGAGTAAAGCTAATAATAAAATTGCCAAAGAAAAAACTGATAAAAAGTACGTGACACTAGAGTTCTGTAAACTCAACCAACGTTTAGCAACTCGTCCTTTTAGTAGGCATAACTATTCAGTTGTATACAGAACTAGCAACAACCTTCAACGTAAGTTGTCAGCTCCACGACAAAGGGGTACTACGCCTATACTAGAGAAGTCGGGCGTGTATAAGCTTAAATGTGGAGAATGTGATTCCTACTACATCGGACAGACTGGTAGATGTTTTAAGACCAGATATAAAGAACATATAAGTGCTATCAAGAAACCAAATCCTGTCTCAAATTATGCAGAACACATCCAACAGTATTGCCACGACTACTCTGAAATTAATAGTTTAGAAATACTCCACATTGGTAGCAAAGGTCACAAACTTAATTGTATTGAAAATTTCCACATTTACACCAGTACAGCTAAAGAACCGAACTTAATAATTAATTCCCAGACTAATTCAGCAGCCAATCCAATTTTTGAGAAAATAATACAAATCAAACAGGACAAGGTATAATTTGAGCAGCTATGTTGGTACACGTGTTATCAGCTGTTCCAGTCGTCCACCAAACCTTTGCAGTGATAAAGTTCGTTCAGTCGGTCGTCAGTTTTTAGCCGTGCACGTGCCTTAATGTTTTCGTGTCGTGTCCGTGTTTTGTGTTGTATGTACTATTTATTTAACTTTGACGCAATGAAAATGAAGAAACCACGTAAGAAATGTAAATATGTAAATAGCTCAGATTAGTGTATAATGACTACGCACCCGACGATGGAGTTATCTCCGAAACGGCCGTAGTGCTCAACTAACAGGATTGCGAAGACTGTAAGTAACCTTTATATATATTTTTATGGCTCTCTATTACTTCCTAGGACGCTAAGCTCTTGATTAAAGGAAGTAAAGGAGAGCCATAACAATATATTTTAACGATAGCCTAAAATAATTTGTAAAACTGTTTAAATCAAGAGCTTAGCGTCCTAGGAAGTAATAGAGAGCCATAAAAATATATTTTAACGTAGGCTTAATAGGAATTTCTTGACAAATTTTCTGTTGATCAAATTGCATACTCTACCTACTTACTGTATAGCTACTATTGTACTACTGTGCAAAGAAACATTTATTCAGTATTAAGTTTAGAACAAAGATAGTTAATACTTTTACCTTGAGAAAAAAAATTTGGGGTTATACGAATAAATTTATAATTTTGTATACAAATTAGGATTTTTAATATTCAAGGAAACACCACTTTACCGCACAATTTACAACACTCTCCCAGACATCTGTGCCTTATCTAGTTTTTTATACTCTTTTAGCACGTCATTCATGCTCACTTTTAGAGTCAGGGTGACAAGATATTTACCTAAGGTTATGTGCACATTTTCATCCCTGTTCAGGTACTTTACGAGAGGTGAACTGACCCTTCCTGCTCCTAACACAAGGATCTTCTTTGTTGAACCAACTGCATCCGGCATTTTGTGGCGGCTACGTCTGAAACAACTGTTATTATAAATCTCAGGGTCAATAGAGCAGCGGTTCTCAGCCTGGGGGCAAGAAAGGATTTCATGGGGGCGCACTTTTCGAAAAACTAAAAAAATAAAAATTTTAAATAAATAAAAATAACACAATAAAATTAATTTAGGATTGTAGCCACACAAAACTTAATCACATGATACTGAAAATATAGTAATTAACTACACAGAGGGATTGAGATTAATTTGGCGTGTGGGATGTGTGATGAAAATGCAGGATTCTAAGGGGAGTCTAGGAGCAAAGAAAGGTTGAGAAAGGTAGCCTTATATAATGTAAAAGAATACAAATGTAATATTAGGAGTAGGTACATTAAATTCAATTTAATTTACCAGCTTTATTTGGCTGAAACTTAAATTTTTTTTGCAATAAAAAAAAGAATAAATCCATAATATAAAGTATGAAATTATATTAATTCAAAGTAATTAGAAACCATTAGCCAGTGTAGTAAACTTCAGTTTACCTTTTGAAGCTCGTTTAGACATCAGTCATAGTTTGTTTTGTTTTGTTAAATGGGGCAATATTATAGCAATATTAATTAAGGAGAGGTTATTTATTTTCTTATTTATTTTACATTATATTTATATACATATTACGTTTCTTTTAAAAAAAAAAGTATATAAAGAAGGTTTAATTTAGTGTAAGTTTTAAAATTAAGTGCCAACCGAACAGACGGTTATTTAACCATTAGTTTCATAAAGTGTAATTTTTTACCTGTGAATGTATGTACCAATATGTTGTAAATAAAGCACTTATTCATTTCATTTCATAAGTAGAAACCATTAATTAAAAACATTATAATTACATATTTTGGGCATGTAATATCCTTTAACTGAAAAAAATTCATAATAAACATACAGTTAAATTTTTTTGTTCTAGGACGCTAGGCACGAGCCTGGAATTGTTTTTCACATTACTTCAGGCTAGACCTACGGGTTGCGGCATTATCACTTTGATAAAATCTATTAGTCATTTGGAGGACTTGAACCTGGGACCTTAGGGACCGATGTCCCACGCTCTAACCACTACACCAGCTCGCTCCCCCAACGGTTTATAATTGCCAAAATATATAGTGTTATATAGCCTACATATTTAATTTTTAAACTAAGATTAGCAAAGCTGTTAACTGATTTAACCTAAAAATAACAGGTAGGTTTAAGTCCGAAAATGTAAAAAAAACACAAACTGTTTTCCTTATTTAATTGAATAAAAAATTATATTTGGTATGGTAAATAATAAAAACTTAATTATTGAAGAAAAACTACTTACTTGGATTCCTGCCTCAAATCTTGAATGTATTCAAACTTGGGTGTTAGTTTACCATTACTTGCTATGATGGCCTGCCAACACAAAGATAACAAAATGATAAGTGTTTAAGCTTAATTGGCAAGTCTTTTGAAGTGCTATTCGTGAATTTACATATAACAACTGTACCATTAATTAGGAAGCAAAAAATATACATTATCACTCATATTTATAACCAATTACTATAAAAGAATGGTAAACCAAAATAATTTTATAATGCTTGATTAAATAATTACACTTGCCAACAAATAATTTGTCAACATTATCGCTTATCATGTTTAACTAATTTAAAGTTTATTAATACAATTACGTTTCTTAGATGACCTAGACACTCACATTGGCTACAACGGTGTCAAAGTTGTGACTCTCAAGAGGTTTGGTTGCGTCTGACTGAAGAATATCAACAGCATATGGCATCACAAGGTCACCGAAAAAGTCAGTTGATTCTCTCGGCAGCTGAGTCGGCATGTTATCAATCGAGCAGACTAGGAGTCCGGCACCTTTGAAACTGGCAACAAACAGTTGGTTGTTTCATGCAAGGATCATGTTTTGGTTCATAGGTAATTCTGAAATGTCTTTCAAAGGTATCTAGGTATTTGAAATGACTAAGTGTTGGTTATGAACCTGTTATTGAATTACTATAATTTTGATAGCAATTTTCAAGCGTATGGTAAAATGCTCTTTCAGTTAAATTTGTCTTCGGCACTTGCTCAGTTACAACGCTCAAAATTGTAATATATTCTAAAACTAGGGAGAGTGAGACGAGTAAAACGGCTTGTACCTTTTATATTCCTTGTTGCGGTCCGCATCGTAGAGACAGAAGGGCGTGTCGATGGTAGTACACTCGTTCATGAACTCTATGGAGCCGCCAGGGTCAGCACTGATGTCGCAGATGGCGAGTGTACGGTGGGGCAGTGCGGGGGCACCTTCACTGACGGGGAGCCAGGGTGTTTGTGCGGAGGCTAGGAGATTCTTGGCATCTGGTAGTGTCAGTAGCTTGGGCGCCCCGACTGCCCAGTAGATCCCGTTCACTATCACTGATGCATACGGGGCGATCTAGGATTGATGGAACGTTTTATGGTTTTACGTGTTTGCAGAAATATTGTCACTAGCTGACGTTTTAAATGAATCATGATTATTGTGTGTGAAACATGACATGTTGGTGAATTAAAGTTTTAGTTACAGTAGTAACTCCTCCATTGCCATCACTGATATGGTAGGAATGCAAATGTGACAATCGGAATGGGGTCACAGCACAAAAAGTGTTTTAACCTTCATATTTTTAACTAACAAACAGGTATAGCTTGGCTTTTAACTTATGTTGAGGCGAGGTACCTGATTACTGAAAGAACCTGGAACAATGACTGGGACGACTCAGCAAGTAAATCCCATTCATGCCTCAAATACACCACTGACGAGAAACTTACAAAAAATGATTAATTCATCAACTGAAAAAAGCAAATAACTATATTCCAAAGTTATTATCAAACAAAACTTGTGTGTTTTTGCCAATTCAATATAACCTTTTTTTACTAGCTAGTTTGGACACTTAAAGTCAACTGATTAACAAGGGACAAACATCTTATATAAGCAAATTGTCACCTTCTTCCCAAACGTTGACATGTAGAGTTCTGGGTGAGAGTCGTAGTCCTGTGGATCGTAACCTCCCCCCTCCCTCCTCTGTAGGTGGTCTCTCCTGCGCACTTGACACCCGTACACTTTGTTTGTAACTGTGAAAAATTAAAAGATCCTTAAGAGTCGCCGTTCTTGATAAGACCATAATTTTATTCAGCTAAGTACGCTAAGGAGTTCACAAAAATGGTTAGATATAAAATGTCTAAACAAGTTATAACATCTATCACAGTCATCGTAAAAATTTGTTCACATTGATTTATCCACGTATAAACAGTAACTATAATAGCGTATTACTATTAGTAATGTAAATTATTAACATAAATTATGTAAAATACAAACATTACCTCCGTGCTCTGCCACTTTCTGCAGCATGGAGGGAGGAACATACTCATGAGGTAGCTCTTGGAATATCTCCTGCGCTCCTTGCGAGACATTACCAGACCTTGGAGAAAATAAATGCGGAGATCTCATAAAAGTATGACTTTAAATACAGTATATTTAGTCTTCAACTTCTAATTTCATTTTAGCTAGGATTGAATAGCCTGACTACCTTGTACTGTCTTTTACTATAACTTTTTAAAGACAGAAATAACAATGTTTTCATTGAACTTCTCAAATTAACAGTTTTTCGAGTTTTTATTATATTTTGTGAAATACTTTGGAAACACTGTATATCTATTACCCTATTGGCAATAATAAAATCAAACAATCATTCTTGTGGTAATTTTGTTTCCCCCACTTCCGTCGCTTTTACTGTGTACAGTTACTGCAACAAATAATTGCTTTTGGATAATTTTTAAACAAATAGTGGTGTGACTTTTAGTGTTGTTAAGAGGGTTTTCTCTGACTATACGCCAGTGGTGTAGTGGGGAGGGACGTGTGGAAACGGTTTTCCCACTCTGCTTTTTCCTGAGGACCTATGTACTGTATATACTATGTTTGTGACCCTGTATTTTTTTTGCAACACACCACTGCTGAACGCCAACCTAATTGACAAGATTGACTTCTTTACTTAATTATTTATTTCGGTACTACACCAACAGGTGTGAATGAATACCATTATAAAGAATTTATTTGCGACATGTATTTTGCGGTCTCAAAATAGTTACAGTACAAATATAGATACAATCACTGTTCATAGCTTTTCAACTGAACTAAACAAACTGAATATCCAGTCCCTTACCCAGTAAAGACAAATATGAGTGGTCCGATAGACTTGGGCATCATACCCAGAGCTATCTCATAGCCAGCGTCTCGTATTGCCTGTGTAGCCATGGAAGAGTTGCGGTAATTGTGTGCCGGACCTATATGCTGAAAATTGGTGCCATGTTAATTCTTTAATTTTGAGTAAAAAACAACAAAAATAAAATGTTGAGAATTCCTTAATGGATATAGGTATGGGTTTCATGTAATTCAGTTTTTGATCAAGACGTAGAACCTGCAGTTTGACGGATACATACCATTTTGTAAAATCATTTTTTGAAATGTGAAATAATTCCTTGGACTTTATCCTCATTTCTTGTTAAATAATCGGCTGAGAACCAAACAGCAGCATCAGAATGTAATTCCTCCATTGTATTGTAAAAAACAACTTTAAAATTCCTGTTTATCCACAAAACATTTTCTAGAATGTTCTAGGAAGCTCTCTGATATTTTAGAAAATAGTGGTTTCTGGAGGACCAATGTTATCTGTTATCGAAAGGTAAAACCCAAAAATCGTTCCCATGCAAAAAAAAATTAACAATGTCAAAACTTGTATATTGTAGGAATGTTATCCTGTTAAAAATGAATGAAGTTGAAGTCATATAATTTGTTAAACAACCTTAATAAAATGAACGATTTACGTAATCAAAAATTTGAAAACAACTAGAAATAATCATACCATGAATGGTGTGTGGTGACCTAAAGCAAGTAGCCGTAGACCTAGACCATGCAGTATATTGACCATCCCAGCAACTCCAGCGTATTTACCAAACGCAACTATCCTGTGGCCAAGCTCATCCACTAACTTCTCATAGTCGACCAAACGGATGTTCTGTAAATTATCGTAACTGTAATAAGTAAGTGTTTAAACTAGTGAAATTATACATGACAAGTTCCTGTGATTTTCATACAAAGACATTTTTATTTGAGATAAAATTGGTTTTCATTTTTAAAATTTAACAATTTTTGTTGATCAGTCCAAGAAATTTTAGTTGTATGTAGATCGTGTCAATTAGAATGGCAAGCAGAATGCATGTGGGCAAAATAAGCCTTCCCCCCATTGCTTTTGTTATTTTTAACAGTCTTAACAACAATTAATTGCCGTTAGACCAATTTAATACCATTAGTGTCTAGCGGTGTGATTTTTATTGTTGCTGAGAGCCTTTACCACATCTCTCCCTACCATTGACGTTTAAACTTTGAGATACATGACGGAATTTTAAAAGAAAGTCAAGTTTCTATTTAGAATTTTTTAAGGACTAGAGTTCACCTATAGCTTACTTGAGACAAATAGGGTTCAAGGGCTTCTTCTCTGAGAGTTGATTGAAGAGAAACGTACTAGGACAAAATATCTGTGCTATGTCTTTTGTGACCTTTCATTGCGTATCCCTTAGACTCATGACTCTAATTTTTCCCCCAATAGGTTGACAGTCTCTTTCAACCTTGCATTTGTCTGTCTACGTGGAACATATCCACAAAGCAAGGAGTGATCAGTATTAGGGTGAGCTGTACTGTACTAACAAAATTTAGTTGCTGGTACCTAAATCGCCGTCATGGATTTGAATTCTACCCTGCCCCCGACTCACCTTAGCCAATCTTCTCAAGTAAGCTAGCTAAAATCTATTCCTTAAAAAATCCAATATACAATACAGTATTAACTTATACAGTTACCTTTTCTAGGCAAGCATCAAGCAGAGGCATGTTGGATTCCTGAGCCTTGATTGTGTGTGAGAACATGCAGTAAGTCTTGTTGGGAAGCAGCAAATCAGCTGGGACCTGCTTCACTCCGAATATAACCGATGCTTCTGATATGTCTTCTTGTGGAATAGCACCAGCATTTATATAAGACTGAAACATACTTTATGTAGCTTACTCAGTTTTAATGTTAAACTATTTGTTCAATAAATACTTGTGTTACTAGTTTGATCTTTCTTTACTTTGTTGATGACTAATTTAGTGTATGAATAATGTTAGGATTTTCACCAAAATATTTGTAGAAATTCTTTGTTTACAAACTTATCTTTTAGTTCATAAACTGCACAGTACCTGTTTTCACACATCACAATTATTACCAGTTAATTGATATGGGGACACTACTTACAGTGGTATTGTAGGTACCTGTATTTACTCTGAATGGTTCAAGATGATTTCTCAGATTTGTGAGAAATCTATTTCATGTCATGATCTTCAAGCGCTAATGTTGACTAGTTATTTTTCTTCTTTTAGGAAATATTTTATGATTTGGAGGGGTCAGAGCAACAATCAACCAAGTCCAAAGTTCAATAATTCGCCACCAGAATGGTTAGTTTGTTTATGCTCTGAGCTCTGACGTACTGCAACAAAGTTTCATAGCAACAACCAACCAGTCCAAATTTTTAAGGTTATGTTGATCCATCATTTGTTTGTGTTGTTTTCGGACAGTGATTTGAGCCCAGGAAGTGATAAAGGTAATGTTTATAATATTTATTACAACCTAAGTTATGAATTATTATTAGTCTATGTTATTTTATTATTAAGATAGAATGCATTATGTAACTTTTTGTTTGTTTGGAGCAACAAGAAACACATTTTGACTTTAATTTAATTTCTTTTGACATAAATCCTAGTTAATTATTAAATAAAGTTTGGATAAGGTTTTAGTATGACAAGTTGTTTTTCTTTTAGGTCAAACTAGTGGCAACAATGGGGACGATGCAGAACAGAAATCTTTTCAGCAGGATATTGAAGCTCAAGGCGACCTGAATGAGGAAATAGAAAACTCCGAACCTAATCCTGAAGGTAAGCCAAGGCGTATAATTTAAATCAAAAGTCGTTATCCCAAAAACAATAATCCCAATGAATTTTAATTAATAATTTGGTGTGAAAATGAAACATTGGTGTTCATTATTCAGGATTTCTATAACTGTTGTGTTTCTGTTTCAGAAATCTTAAACAACCCAAGTAGCAAAAATCGTTGGCAAATCGTTGGCCCAACGTTTCTGTCGATCGTTGGCCAACGGTATGTTTTGGCACTGAGTCTTACGGTTGGCCAACCAACCAATTTTTGCGGAAGGGCCAACCATCCCATTGGGCATAACCATAAAAAACACAAAATAATAAAGATTTTGTATGCAAAGCATAATTATGAGTTGAGTAAATTGATTAAATAGTTCATAAAAACTTATTATGAAAATAAAACGAAATAAAATTTTTTGGCCGGGACGGGTCTCGAACCCATACCTTCGACATGTGAGCCTCACGCCTTACCTCTGAACTAACTGTGCTTGTTGGTTATGAGTGGTTTCAAGTGGTAAAAGAGTAGCCGACAGGTGCAATGGTCACAATTAATACTTTAAATATTTTTGATGCTACAGTATAATATGATTCTGTTAATCTGTTTAGGCCTCAAGTAGTTGAATTGTTTTTCTGGTAGTTGGAGAGGATACTGGTATTTGAATATAGATGATTTAATTACCATTAGATATTAGTAGGCTACTGTTATAATTGATTGTTATATAATTAATTAATCTTTTCTCTATAACTATTCAAAACTTGCTTAAATAAGTTAAAGAATATTACAAAAAATTAATTATAATAATAATTATATGTTAAGCAGGTGTTCCCCACTGTATCTAGTATCACAACATCATCTGACTACATTCATTATTGATCCAAATTTTTACAATATTTGTCTTATATTCTGCTGCCATAACATTTATGTACTTTTAAATAAATCAATTTGTTAAAATTCGTTTTAGAATGTTTTATACTTAAACCCAACGAATGCCCAACGAAGGCCCAACGATTCTTTCCTTTGTAGGGCCAACGAATCACAGTTTCCGTTGGGCCAACGTCGGCAAATCGTTAAAATTTTTGCCAACCATTTACCAACCGTGCTGACCATTTCCCAACGTTGGGCCAACGATGTGTGCTACTTGGGAATGAACAACAACAAGGAGGAAAATGACAAGAAAAGAGGATGATTGGGAAAGGAACAAAAGGAAAAGTATGATTGAGAGGGCAAGTCAGAAAAACAACAACTTGTACGTTCCAGAGAGGACTGGTTTGAAATAATAAAGTCAGCAAAACTCAAGAATCCATGTTTAGAAGTTCACAAAATGAAACGAGAAGAGGGACCTGTCAATTGGTTGAACATTAGATGGATCAGACTTCTTAAAGGAGAATCTTTCACTGTGTTCTCATTGTGTAAAGAAGAGCCTTTCAGATAGTTGGACTTATAGCAGTACGCCAAAACAAAACCAAGAAAAAATACAACAATAAAAAAGGATTGCTCTTACAATCACTTGTTAATGTTCAACAGAGCCCTCTCTATCCAAACCGTGGACCGGTCACACAAGCAAAAAAAGATGACATGCAATCTCTTATACCGTACATACCCTTCCCCCCACCATCACTGATACTTCAAGAAGTTACTACAAGAAGAAGGAATTTGGAAGTGGACGAGGAAGCTACTGTAATGAGGACAATAATGAAATCTTTTACCCGTAACTATCCGTATCTTTGATCTGTATGAGGGTCCTCTAGTAAATCTTTTTTTGTAATTTGACTGTTCATTAATTGAATCTTTTATCCTCTGCCATTATGACAATGTAATATTCATTTGATTTCCATCTAGAAAATGCAATTTAGTAGTGTTATTACTATCAAATTTAATTGTTTTGTTGGAGTTGGTAGGATAATGCAAAGCTAGTATTGAAAAACTTTCAGTGTATCATTCCAAGCAAGTCCACAAAAAAAATTTGCTTCTTAATTTAGAAAAATCCTTTTTCCCTTTAAAAATTTGATCAAACAACAATTTTTTTATGGATTTACACCACTAAAAAAATCTTACTAATCATACTAATATTATAAATGTGAAAGTTTGTGTGTTTGTTTGTTTGTTTGTTTGTTTGAAGTTCAATCACGCATTAACTACTGGTCGGATTGTGTTGAAATTTGGTACGATGATAGCTCACCTTCCCGATTAACATATAGACATATTCTTACCTCAATAATCCTTTCGGGCTCCGCCCCAGCAGCTCTAGAGTTTCCCATGTTAACCTTATGAGTATTCATATTTAAAAAAAATTAAATAATTTTGCCAGCTGTTTCAACTACACAATTTGTTCCTATGATGTTCAATAGCATTAAAAGGTTATACGGTTTACCAAAAGGGTGCAGCACCATTATAGTTCTTTATACATTTATGACAACAGCTAATTTGAACCAAGCAGCAACAAAACCTGAGTGTGTGAACTTTACCTCTTTCTACTGTTTAGGTGAAGTGGTAGAACATCATGGCTATGGTAGATATTCTATAAACTAAAGTATACGGTAGATTATAGTAAACCAAATTTTCTCAAAACGTGTCCTCTCTCATTGCAAATGCAAAGCACAAGTATTTAACTGCAATAAGCATTGTATATTAACCCCGTACAAAGGACGGGTACTCAGCTAGTATTATAAATGTGGAAGTTTGTGTGTTTGTTTGTTTGTGTGTTTGAAGTTCAATCACGCATAAACCACTGGACGGATTGGGCTGAAATTTGGCATGATGGTAGCTTACATTCCCTTTTAACATATAGGCATATTCTTATCTCAAAAATCCTTTCGGGCTCCGCCCCAGCGGCTCTGTAATTCCCCATGTTAACCTTATGAGTATTCATATTTAAAGGGAATTAAAGAATTTAGTCAGCTGTTTGCTGTTTCAACTAAAAAAGTTGGTTCTATGTTATGGAAAAGCATTAAAAAGTTATAAGATTTACCAACAGGGTGCAGCACTATATTTTTTTGTTGCATTTATGAAAACAGCTAATTTTAACTAAGCAGCAACAAAAAACTGTGATTCGCAATGAGAACTGTCAAAGTAGGATTGTTTACAGTTATGTTTATGTTTTTTATTTCGTGAATAATTTGTGATATTTTGCGAATTGTTGATAATTTATTTTTCTCTATTGTTTAGGTGAAGTGGTAGAACATTATGGCTATGGTAGATGTGTAATACTATAGAACTAGAGAACCTGTGCGGCTCAATGAGCCGCATAGTATAAAACATAACGCCGAGGAAAACGTTATGCTTAAATTTGAGTAATTCTAGTAACATCTTAGAGTTGTTTAAACACTTGTTAGAAACTAATTTGTATTTGTGTCGTCAAGGTTCACCTATATCTGCTTTGAATAGGCTAAGGCAGCAACACCATTGAAAGTTGGTTAACGTATTTCTACATATAAAAACATAAGGTCCGCCAATATTTGGTTTAATCTTACTACTTGTACTTATCATAGTCAAGGCATTATTATAGTTTCTCATAAATCTTTTGAAATATCTCGATCTGTCAGTGTCAGAAGTAAACCTTTCTTGCATGCATTAATTTGATCTGACATTATGCAAGTTTACTTTACCACCGTAACAACACTCTGTGCTTCGTATATTTTATCACTTCCAAAGTCAGTTGCATAACAGAGCTGGAAAATATTATTCATCTCACCAAGTGAATGTGTATCTGGATGGGTATCTGTTAGACCAGGCCTCTCTTTTTCTACTCTCCTCATACGCACAAGATATCTTATTATTAATTGTGTCCTCCTCCCGTGTTAAATATTTCTTCTTTGAACTTGAGGCATTTTCTGTTCTTCCAACAAAACTGATTAACTGTTTAACTTGGTCTTAACCTACTGAATATACAAACATAAATATTTACTCCCAAAAAGCTAATGAGTATCTTTTTATAAACAGCTGTTTTTTGTTTTTAAATTTGTTCCATGTATTTCTTATGGAGAAACCCCGACCTTTGAGAAGGCCTCACGCCCTTAAGAGTAGGAATTTTAAAATTCTAAAACCTTATTGCAAAACTACATATTGAGACGAATCTTTTGACACCTTAAACGTTGAAATTGGTCCACAAATAAGGGAGGAGTTGCGTTAACAAAAAACGGCTTCACGTATTATATATATAGATACTGTAAATTAAAAAAAAAACAAATTTTATCAAACTGTATCCTCCCTTATTGCAAACGCAAAGCTTGAGTATAACTGCAATAAGCATTTTATGCTTATGTTCCAGCCCCGTCGTACGAAGGACGGGTACTCTGCTAGTATATATATATTTCATAGGTCAAAGGGTGTTAAAGTTATAAAATTGTAACTTTAAATCTATTTTTCTCAGCTGTTACTATTTTTTACTTTGTTGGTTGTTTCTCTGATTGTCCATTTGTAATTAACTCTTTAACTAAATACCAGGGGGTTAGCTGTTGCTCACAATAGATAGTTATAAATAGTCTGGAAACCGTACCTGTACGGGGTATGCTCGTCGGTTGGACGGCTGTATGAGCACCTTGACGCCGGCCCTCACTAGTTTCCGCACGTTGCTTGGGGCCAGAGGTGCTCGTCTCTCCCACACACTCTGGTCTTCCCTGCGAATCGCCATTACCTTCCCCTTCAGCGGCTAAAATCCAAAATCATTATCATCATTACTACCATTGTAATATTTTAGACATCAACGCCACCTGTGAATGCAAGTTGAGAGTAGAATGGAGTGCGATGATCTGAGTAGCTTTGTGACTGAGATCAGCTGTTTCCTTAGCCAAGTCCAGTTGTCAAGGACAGCTGAACCCTGTTTCAAACATCAAAAAGCTACTGACTTCTGCGGATTGATCTGGCAACCATTTGATTTTTTGTTGAGCACTATAAACACTCAGTTACCCTATCCAGCTCATTTGGTAATGATTTGGTCTTCTTTTGAATTGCTATTTCCAAGAGCCCATTATAAAAATAACATATCAAATACAGTAATTAAGGATCTTGACCCTCTCAAGAAATAAAAACACCCCACATTCCATCTAAGAAACTGTACTACACTTCAATTCACTGTACTGACTTCACTTAACTGTTAATTATTCACCAGCACGCCAATAAAATAAATTAGCACTTGTTTCAAAATTTAAAAAGCAACTAACATGTTTTGTGACAACCAAACTTTCTGAACCATCATAAATTAACACGATCAAGCTAATTGCATATAGAATAGTGGATTAATATTTACTAATTCAGAGTTTGGAGAATAAGCTGATAATTTCTAAAACTTTGCATTATTCTAGATTAATATAAGAACAAGGTATTATTATTTGTGCAAATAAGATTCTAGTGTAGGATATTATAGCTTCTTCACACTTGGATAGGCAGGAAATTTTAAGTTTAATACAGTTTCTAGTAGTTTTCTGTTCCAGTAACCTAACTTATAAACATAAAGCATTGGTTTTAACAAGCTATTCAGAGATTATTAGAAATACTTACAAACTTTGCCTTCTGGATGATTGTAGAGTAGAGACGGAGTTGATTCATATTGGTGTTTATAGATTTACCTCTCCTAAAATAAAGCAAAATCATATTTAATTGATCACTCACAAGTTACAGTAAAAAAAAAACTATATGAATGGATTTAACACTATGATACGATTAATTGTCATGTTAATTAACAAAACTAGGTCACTAACTAAGATTTTAATACAAACTTTGAGACAGACTGAATTCTTAATTCACAAGGAAATAATCTGGTTTTAGTTTTATCAGTTGGAAGAGGTCAGTTCCAGGTTATCGGTATAAATTTTTGTTTTCAAACCGGGGCCTCTAGATTACTTAAATAATAGATTACCGATTACTGTAGTTTCCAAAAAGCCTATGTACCATAAACATCACTGTTAGCTGATGAGCACAAGTAATTTGTGGTGCATTTATTTTGTTATTTATTTAACAAAAATTGTATTTTTCAAGTTATTTAGTGAGAGAACACTCCAAACCCTAGTATTTATTACAATAAGATTTTCTTACAAAGTATTACTCATTAATTCAAATCCCAGCACAAAGTCTAACTGAGTATAATCGTATCGTTGAATTTGGATTGCAGTAAAACTATATAAATTAATATTATTTCCAAAAAGGTATTTTGGTAAATTTATTATGTATTTGGAGAAGGTTCAATATGGAGACAGTTCTCTAAATTCCCCATTTTCTTGTTTTTGCTCAGAAAGATTATTGACCTAAAACTCAAGTTGTGCACTAAACCATTGGCACATTATTATATCTAAAATCCATTGGTGTTAGGTAAATCCATTGGTGTTAGGTAGGATTTGAACCTGGACATCCCAGGCACAAGGCCCTTACACCAGACCAACTGTACACCAAAATCTATTACCTATAAACAACTGAAATTTAACATCTTCTGCAGTACTCACCTTAAAATATATCCTTTGACTATTAATACAACTCTGTAAAACTGTCTGAGAACTAAACTGTGAACTTAGTTGTACTTAAGCTAAGGATGGAATCATTGATGTTATTGACCTCATCCATTATCACTTTAAACTTTCCACTACAATGTTGAGCTGGTTATTTTCACAAATTTTGTTTCTGACCAATCCTGATTCACTAAGTACACTACGAAATACGTTATCCTATTTGATTCTTTTGTTGTTGTTTATCAAACAAAGAACGTAAGTAAACAAGATAAGTGTAGTGTAATGATAAATTGAATGAATGACATAGTTAATTGTGTAGTTGTATATCTACTACAAACTCATTATACCACAATACAATTTAATTGCTAATTAACTTTGATTCCCTTTTAGTCACTTTTGGTATTATCTTTAATGTGTAATTTTTAAAATTATTTTGCTAGTCAAGTGATTAGCTTTTCAAACTTTGATGCGAGGGCGACGGGTTTAATTCTTTCCCTCAAAAGCTTTAGTTGCCTTCTTTCGAAATTCCACTTTGGAGTGGGATAGGCACAAAAATATAATCAATAAAATATAATCAAGATAAAATTGGTATTGTTTTTAACGAGAATTGTTTAATTTGTCCCCACTAATTGTTTAGGACTACTGTAATATATTCAGATTATAGCCGAATTCCTTTTGCAAAGTATCGGTAAAACCATAATTTATTAACCTAATCTTTGAGACAGACATAGTTATATTATTTTAAGGTGAATGTGGATGACATGGATTGCAGAATGGAGTGAGATGATCTGTGTAGTTTTGTTACAGACTAAAATCAGCCGTTTCCTTATCTAAGGTACAAATTACAACGCTCAAGGACAGCTGGCCCCAGTTTCGAGCATTAAAAAACCTACTAACTTTTCTCAGGTTAGGCAACCTTTAGCTACTATACTAGTTTGATAACAAATTAAAGACTGTCCATCCCAATTTATTTTTCCCACCTTCACATCCTAGGACGCTAGGTTTTGACGAGAATCGTTTACACATTACTTCAAGCTAGGACAAGAGGGTCGTGGTATTATCAAAGTGTATTGGTGATTGGCGGGATTTGAACGCTGGACCTCATTGACCCAAACCCCTCCGCGCACGAGTGAATACTGATCTGAAGTTACTATAGCTTAACATCAAGTTAGACTGTTCACCACAACAGGATATCCAATGGTTTCACTTTCGTCGATTGACCACCGCAGGGACAGATATCATTTCACTTTTCCCGCCACCCTGCCACTGAGCGACTGCGCGTGCGCCGTTGCGCTTTCTGAGTGCTGCGCAGGCGCTAACATTACGACGCAATAACTAGGGAAAGTTTTATGGTCATTGTAATCAGCGATGGTATGATTACGTTTTACGGTTATGAATTCCTGTTTGCAGCCTTGTAACCGTGATTCACAAGATAACAAGAATGATTCGGTAATATCTTAGAGTGATTGTTAAATTTTTGTAAAAATGTTTGTAAATTAATTTTATAGGTTTAGCTGATTATATATGACGTATTTACCGGATTGATTGCGTTTTTAGGTCGTATATATCCGTCGGAACATAAACTCCATTGTAGCATTAAGTTAATTTTAACTAAGATTTTTCTGTGATATTGATATTTGGTTGCTAAAACTGGTCTTATTTTTTATTTGTAAAGATTCGAAAAACGTCTTTTACTTTTGTAGTAGAAATAAATCACTGTCCAGTCAAAAATTTAGATACTCGAGTTTGATCTTTTATTGCAGCGTAACCAGTAGACTTAGGAAAATACTTTTGACATCATATTTTTACAAATTTATTTCTGTGTTTATGTGTGCTGGCTTCAATTTTTTTATGCTTTTTCTACTCAGCCTTTCATCGGGTTGAATGAAAAAAGTACAGATTTTTCAGAGCTTTCTTACAATGAGCGACTTTAACATTTTATAACAAAAGATTGATCTCTAACCGTCATGAAATTTTGACAGCTTTTAGAACATATACTTATAAAGCATAACCTTTATTTTTTAGTAAGTAGTAGCGCTACACACATGTGCAAAAAAGGTTTAACTTTAAGCTTATATGAAATGCTGTATTTCCCGAGAACGTCTAGGTATAGAAGGACTTCTCTGCAACTTTTGGGTGGTTATACTAGAAAGAAAGACTTAATATTTCGTTTAACAAAAACATTTATTTACAAATCAAAGTTAAATGTGTAGCTATGTAAATGAGTAAAATGAGCTAAACGAGGTAAACACTGGATTCTTAACCTATTACTACCTAACCAAACACATAGCAACAACTTTAACTAGGTACAGTTTAAACAGCCATATCTAAAAACTGATAATATAGAATACGTATAAAAGTCGGTTTGCAGTCTTGTCTTTGGTATATTTTCACAATAATGAAATTTTTTTATGTATTTACATTTTTACACTAACCTATTTATAACTTACAGACAATATAAACAATATAATAGCTCGCAATACAATTAGATAATATAGCAGAAGAAATATTGCCAAAATGTACGAGTGTTCATATTTTATATTGTGTCGAGTTACAAGGTAAAGTTTTGTTGACATTAATATTTTATTCAATCATATCAAACAATGCCAGTTTCTGAATACGACTACGACAGAAATTTACTTGTACTGTATTAGCAGTTTACCATGAAATAAACCATACATAAACAACACTATCAATTTAATACGATTATTTGATTATAATATTTTGATATTGTTCTCAGTAGTAGGTCGTCATTTCAATGAAAAGTACTTAAGTATTTGATTTTAGTATGACTAGGGGGTTTATAGCGAAAATTCGTCTACGGAATCAAAGTAGGCAGTTTATACCATATTTTGGATTAGAGAAAAACTTAACCTCTGGCTTTCATTGCTTCTAATAATGCAATTTTAAAGACTTTTGGTTGTTGAAGATTCTATATTTTGTCTAACATTTTGATTAGTCTAAAAATCTCCATAAAAATCAGACTGAATACAAAATTTTAACACACATCCCTTAATTTTGTAGTACAAACTCTGCTTGGAAGCACGTCACTAATCTAGTCCTACCACAGTACTCCTGTATCTTACGATTATTATTGAACATGACTACGAAAGATACCCGATAATTTGGAACATTTCAGTCTGATGAACGTGGTCAAGAAGTGACTAAGTCAAGTCAACGCTGGTAAATTTGTCAACTCCGGTGACGAATGTTCCTTACAATAGTTCCTTGCCTCACTGTTTACTGTAGTTGATGACTTCCACCTTGTAGGCTGACCCAGCCCCGTCGCCGTCTCCCATCTGGACCGACTGCTCCCACTTCTGCATGACCCCGGGTGTCCGCTGAGTGGCCGGCCAGGCAGGGGTCACTCGATGAGAAGACGCACTCTTCTGCTGAGTCTGTAGAGGGACCGGGTTGTGGGGAAGTACTGACTGGGATTTGACTGGAGCCTCAACAGGGGTTTTAACATTGTGCTGCTGAACATGCCACATGCTGTGCTGAGGCGTCTGCAGATGATGTCCTGACCAGATGACGCTGGAAGGGTGACTCTGGGGCGGGGAGGTGGAAGGTTGCGGCCATTGCTGAGGTTGTGGCACGGGGAGAGCTTCAGGCCAGTTCTGAGGGGCTTGTGGCTTACGACGAGGTTGTGGATGATTTTCAGAAAACTCTGCTTCAAGAGAATGAGCAGAATGATAAGCAGGCCGAGTGTAATGTTCTTCCTCACTAGAGGGCTCTCTAAAATCAATTTGCTTACTCCACTTGGCGTTCTTAGTTTTCCTCATTTTCTTCCTCTCCTTTGGAATATATTCAGGAAATCTTTCTAAAGAATCCTCTTCGCTTCCTTCTGATTCTTCTCTAGAGTAGTTCATTGGATCTCGATTATATCCTCGATGGTTGTGAAGTTCACCCACGTCTTTCCAACCACGAAAGTCTGACATGGGTTTCCATCCCTCTTTTTGCATTCCTATTACGGTTGGCTTGGTCGGGAAATTCACAAGTTTCTCCTTTCTTGACCTATGTAAATTACGTTTTCCTCCAATAACACCTTCTTCCCGGAGTTCTCTCAAGTCCTCACTTGAAATCAGCCAGTCGTCTTCATTTTCACCCTTGCCTCTTCCAAACCATTCGTTCACATTGATAGGTTCCCATGTTGGTCGTTGTTCACGTTGATCTTGATGTCTTCCTCTCGTGTCTTCAGATTCGTTCTCCATACTCCAGTCTGCCTCATGGCTGTGGTAGTCTTGACCTCGTGAGTATCCTTGTTCCTCTCGATGTTCCATCCCTCGCTGCGATGCCAGGTGTTCAGCATGGTCCTGATGATCACGCTGTACCAGCACTGGTTGCAGATGGCTGTAGCTTCCTCTTGCCTGGTGCTTTACTCCGCGGTGTTTCTTCGGCCTCCTCCTTGGCAGTATCTCCTCGTGCTCCTCATGATGATGCTCTAGTTTCTTGGCGTGCACCTTGTGTATGTGCACCGGCTTGTAGACGTCGTGGTGGATGTGCTTTATCACGTGTGGCACCTTCACTATTATCTTCTTTCTGGAACGGAAATAGTGAAATAAATGCACCGTTGACAAAAATAATCAAGAATATAAATACAAATACCCCCTGCCGCAGCAAACCTGCATAGCGCATTTCCATTTGCTTGATTGACTATAATATTTCCTTGAACGTGTCACATTTATTCCCTACTTTAAAAACAGAGAAATTTGCTTAAACTCGTTACTCATTCTTAGTTTGTTATTCACCAATCTACACATCCTGACGAAAAACACATAAGCATGAATAATAAATCAAATGAACATTGTGGTGTATTTTAGAATATAAAAATTAATCAATTTAGAGTGTGGTGACACCAGTAAGATTATTTCCAAAAGAAAAAAATATCAACACCAAAAATCAAAGGGCTGTGCACAAAATATTTACAAAATAGAAATTAAAATATTTGATATGCCTTGGCAAAAATTTCCACCCTAATAGATTCACATAGAAATGAATGCACTTAAGTGTCAAGTGATTGCATTACCGAGTACACAATCAAAACAATGTAACACAAGAAGAAGTAAGGAAATGCTTTTACTGAGCATTCTTAAACAAAGGGTGATTTATGGTGTTCTCCGAAGGAAGAAATTTGCTGTGAGTGGGTCTTTGGGTAACCCGAGGCCGAAGTGGGTTAAAGACAGCCGCGGTGCTTTGTCACCTCAACAGGTGTGTAAAAAACCTAATAGGCACATTGTTGTCTGCAGCTGCCTCATTGTCAGGCAAAGTGTCTGACATGCATCAGCTTGCATAACTATTATCACTGGACAAATTGCCTGATAGCATGATGGAGTAAGGCTTGCTACTTCCTAGTAGGCGTGTTGACACCTGCCGCTGTGAGTCAAGTACAAATTTTCAATGGCTTGCAATAAAATTAGCTAGTGGAGTGTTGTCCAATATAGAGATAATTGTCTTCACCTAATAGATCTTTATAGGACGATCTCTTTGTCATCCCATAAAGAGACCGATCGTTTTAATATAGACGCGGGCTCTGAAATTCTATGGGAATAATATAAGCATTTTAAATTTACTGTTTTTCGATTTTTTCTTTAACTATTATGAGTACAACTCTTCAATATACTAAATAATTTTTTAAGCCCTACACAATAGTTTGGAAAGAAATCACAACATTTTGTGTTTTGGGGTCAACAACAGGGAACACATAATTTTACCCAATAAACCCCCGTTTTACAGTATGGTCCGATCATGCTCAGGAACTCGTTAGAACCTAAGTTTAGACTTTTGTACTGAACTTAAAAATCAGATTATTTATACTTGAGCTATCCAGTACTCATATACCATATTCACGAATTTGAACTGTGGTGTTTTTGACCTCTGGGGTTATCAAAACGAAGTAAACTGGTACCGGGTAGAGAGCTTCCTCTGAGACCTACGGTAGATAGTCCCTGAAAGAGTTGAGACTAAAGTTTTGGACAGATAGAGTGATCGCACACAAAACATACATTGGTTAATGTTAAGCAGATCACCTTAATTAACTCTACATTAGTAGTATTACAATATTTTTTAAACAAAATATTTCTATATTTTAACTTACTTGTGTTCTGAAACTGCAGTTTGAAGGAGGCAGGCTAGAACCATGAAACTCGCCGCTAGAGTCTGGAGAGAAAAATAACATGAGTTACTCTGTTAGGGCAAAGTTTCAAATTATCAAATTAACTAGTGTGCCCTGTTCAACGTACCATTATCATACGGGCGTTATTTGAAACTGCAGTAGGCTAATAACAGTCATAATTTTCCATTTTGATTAGTTCTAAAGACTCAAAGCTTATGTAACTAATTGAAATACTCATTCTATTAATAACGGGTTGAAATAATAAACACTTATTGTAAAAATATGTTATCATATTTAAGAAACCGGCCTTATTTTTGTGTTTTATACAAATGTTTCCCGACTTGTAGCTGTTAACAGTAAAAATTTATTGCATGTATTCATTTGATCTGATATTAGGTAGGTTTTCTTTACCACTGTGACAAAATGATTTGTATACTCTTCATGATTTTTTTACTTGCAAAATAAGTTGCATAGCAGAACTGGTAAAAATTATTCATCTGACGTGATTGTGTATCTGGATTCCTTATTGTTAGACCATGCTTCTACTCTTCTCATACGTATAAGATTCCCTCTTAACCTCCTTTCAATATTTTCAATGTTTTAAATATTTCTTCTTTAAACTCAATACATTTTCTGTTCTTCCAACATAACTGATTATGATTAACTGTTTGGATTGGTCTATAACCTCCTGAATATTACAAACATTAATATTTACTCCCAAGACGCTGGTGAGTTTCTTTTTATATACAGCTGTTTTTTTTTTTAATTTGTTTAATGTAATTCTTATGGTAAAAACCCGACCTTTGAAAGGGTCTCACGCCCTTAAGGGTAGAAACGTTTAAATTCTAAAACCTTAATGCAAAACTACGAATTCGGCCGAATCTTTTGACACCTTAAATGTTGAAATTGGTCCACAAATAAGGGAGGAGTAGTGTTCACAAAAATAATTTTGCCAGCTGTTTCAACTACACAATTTGTTTCTATGATATTCAATAGCATTAAAAGGTTATACGGTTTACCAACAGGGTGCAGCACCATTAGTTCTTTATACATTTATGACAACAGCTAATTTGAACCAAGCAGCAACAAAAACATGAGTGTGCGAACTTTACTTCTTTCTATTGTTTAGGTGAAGCGGTAGAACATTATGGCTATGGTAGATGTTCTATATAATATAGTATACCATAGATTATAGTAAACCAAATTTTCTCAAAATGTGTCCTCTCTCATTGCAAATGCAAAGCACGAGTACTTAACTATACAATAAGCATTGTATACCAACCCCGTACGAAGGACGGGTACTCAGCTAGTAAGAGATATATACAGTATAGGTGAATTCACTACTGAAAGAGATCAATAATAATAAAGATGCCAAATTAATTTATCAGTTGCTTTGAAATATTAAAAAAATATTAAAATTAAAGGGTTGGGGAGCGTTTAAACTAATGAAACCCAACTAATGAACGAATGTTGTGATGAAATATTTACTTGATAAAATGTATATTATTAGACAGAATTTTGAACCCCCGACTTAGAAATAATTTTCGTTAAATAAATTATAAAATATATTTGAAAATTAACCTGGTAGATATTACCACATTTTTGAAGAAAAAACAGGGTGCCTTAATAAACCCAGTTAGTCGGGAAAATGTCAAACACGCATTATGCAATGATGTTGAAATCAGAATTGCATGTAAATCAGAATCAGAATATGGAAATTCATAGTAAAACACATTTATGCTCAACAAAGATTTACATAAACCAAAGCTAAAAAAATAAATTACTATTCCCTCCTTGGATAGGAATTTTAAAATTGTTTTTATATTTTTTCACAGTTATCTGAAAACCATTGGCCTAAGGGTTGCACATGTATTAGAAATTTGCTAGCTTCTGTGTGCTGTGAGACAATCAACATAGATTTCGTATTCGAAAATCGAAACTTTGTATTAGGGTTTCTCTAAACTATTTCAAATATGTTGTCTCAAATTGATTCTAAGAAACTGGAAAACTTGATAATTTCTAATCATTTGTCCTTAGACCAAGAACCTTTTGAAGCACAAGAAAAATCAATACCAGAAAAAAAATTACACAAAAGAAGGGGATAAATAAAAAAAAAATAATTCTTTACCTAACTGTAGACAGAAAAAAAACTATGAATTTCAAAACCCAAATATAAAATGAGCACTTTTTTGTAAAAAAAAAACACAGATATTTTCCTATTTAAAGGTAATTTTTATGTTGCAATGACTCACCAGAAGTGCCGCCATACCGTCTCGAAGTCGACTGAACTGTCCGCCATTGCGCATGTTTATACCTCTAGAAAATAATTAGTCACACATTCTGACTTTGCTTCTCGTTTCGTAGCCACAATATCGCACTTGACGTTCACGGCCAAACCGACTTCCGCTTTGTTTGCTTCCTCACTTCCGGAAACTAGATCTCATCTCGCGTGTACTCAAGTTTGCACCCTTGTAGGCTTCCTAGTTGTATAAGCGTTACCATGTTATAAAATATACAGTGTTTCTTTCGATTTTCATGTTACTTTCTTCCCCATGTACAGGAGAAAACCACCAATAAAGAAAGTATTGTTTTCGTTAACATTTTTGAGTTTGAGTTTTGAGTGGATCCGTTTTGGATTCCCCTGCACCCAAAAGGGTGGTTTTCGAAGTGATGTCTGTGTGTGTGTGTGTCTGTATATGTAGATGTGTACAGAGCTATAGACCACACCTGTTTTCTGATTTTGATGAACTTTGGTTTATGGGTATACATAGTATCTCCAGCATTTTTTTGTTCAAATTTTGATTTTGAATGGTTATTTTTCCATAAAAGCCCATAAAATAACGGACAAAATTATTGTAACTTATTTTATTTTCTCATAAAAACTTCATAAAGTAACGAAAAATCGGATTGTAGAAAACAATTCAGTTTCGATTAAAATTGGTATTTTATGGTCCTTTAAATTCTAAATATAATGGTACAAATCCCATTTTCGTAAAAAATACTGTTCAAAAGTTATTGTAACTTATATTATTTTGTCATAAAACCCGTAAAATGACAATAAATTGGATTTTAAGAAAAAAGCCGGTTTCGTTAAAAATTATTATGTTATGGTCCTTTAAATTTTGAACAAAACGGTAAAAGTAAAATTACGGCTCAAAAGTTATTGTAACTTATGTTTTCCCCCATAAAAACCCCCATAAAATAACAAAAAATCATATTTTAGGAAAAACTGGTTTTTATTAAAAGTAATGTGTTATGGTCCTCATAATTCTAAACAAAATAATGCAACCCCCATTACTGTAACAATTACGTTTCAAAAGTTATTGCAGCTTTGGTGATTTTTTACTGCACAATTATCATAGATACTCTCACCGCTTACCCATGATAAAGGTTGTTGACAAGCTTATGGGAGAAAGTGTGTGTCGGATTGCTGATACCGTTTATTTTTAATCAATTTCAATACCGTTTAAGTAAATTTTTGGATTATATTATATTGAAAAGTACATAAACCCATTTACAATAACCATAGTCAATGATAAAACTCATTTTTCAACTCTCTAAAGTTAAACAAATTAATGTAAGTAAAAAGTCGCAAATTTGTTATGTGATTTTCATGGCAAAACATTAGTTTCCGAATAAAACACGGAAGGAACTTCCCAAACTTTCCCTTAACTTCTCCCATTAAAGAATATTGTGTCATCGTTGTATCCGCCGTACTTCTGGAAGCTGTTATAAAGCATAGCACATCACCAGCATCCTGTACACCATAACGGCATCCTCCACATTATAAAATGAAGTGTTGTGAAAAAATACCAGACTAAAGCGGAGCGTCCAAGGGGAGAAAGTAAAAAGTACATAATGAGTTGGATAATATAAGAAGGAAAATTTACTTTGTAATTTGTAACATTACATTGACAACATAAAATTATTTATCTGGAGGGTGGAGATTTCCCCTCCATGCAAATCTGTAATGAATAAAATGACATTAACTATTCGATGTTCCATAAATAACTCTTTTGAAATGAAATAATCACCATTGAGTTGTGAGAGTATTCAATATTTCACTGAGTGAAAAATAATTGGTGTAGTTGTTGGTTACAAGGGCGTAAAATGAGTGATTCCAACTTAGATATGCACAGCTACAAATTACTACTTTCTGCAACCAATTTATTCACATTTGCTTTTCGATTACAGTATAAGGAAGTTGTGTGCTTAAGTTGACTGGTAGTACTTTATGTTGACTGGTAGTACATATGTTGACTGGTAGTACATTATGTTGACTGGTAGTACTTTATGTTGACTGGTAGTACATATGTTGACTGGTAGTACATTATGTTGACTGGTAGTACTTTATGTTGACTGGTAGTACTTTATGTTGACTGGTAGTACATATGTTGACTGGTAGTACATATGTTGACTGGTAGTACATATGTTGACTGGTAGTACTTTATGTTGACTGGTAGTACATTATGTTGACTGGTAGTACATCATGTTGACTGGTAGTACTTTATGTTGACTGGTAGTACTTTATGTTGACTGGTAGTACTTTATGTTGACTGGTAGTACATATGTTGACTGGTAGTACATATGTTGACTGGTAGTACTTTATGTTGACTGGTAGTACATCATGTTGACTGGTAGTACATATGTTGACTGGTAGTACATTATGTTGACTGGTAGTACTTTATGTTGACTGGTAGTACTTTATGTTGACTGGTAGTACATATGTTGACTGGTAGTACATATGTTGACTGGTAGTACTTTATGTTGACTGGTAGTACATTATGTTGACTGGTAGTACATCATGTTGACAAAATATTCTAAACGTAGTATTTGAATGAATAAAAATACCTCTATTTGCAAGCATTTCTCTGCTACTCGAGATTTTTAGTACAACTATTGTAAAATGGTACTAATACTATCGGTCTAATACTGTACTAAACATTGTCTAACAAATTAAAACATTCTTAATGTGGACTGTATATAAATAAACAGAAACACAGACAATTATTTCTCTACAACAAAATACACAGGAAAATAATTAAACAACAAAAACAACAAAAATTCTTTGCTAAACAAACTATTAACTCCAGATGAAATAGTATATTTTTGATCACTAAGGCCTAAAGTGGCTCTTTTTGACCTGAGGTAAAGTTTTTAAGGAAAATTGGCGAGGGTTAAAAAGTCACTTTTTGCCCGTGAGGTGAACTATATATTTTTGTCATATTGCGTCAATAATTAACAAAAACAAAGAAAACAAAATCATCTTTATGCAAAGATAACCTCTCAAAACGACTTCCAGCTTGTTTTCAATTCTGCTAATGCAAATAAGCAGCTGTTTAGTAAGATTCAATTATTTCGTCCATTACGGTTGTGTTGTTATACCATCAATATGTCGAGCAATCGACAACAATAGGCTACAACCTTACCTAATAAATCAATCGATACATAATTTCGATCGATGCAATTGCCACAATCGAAATTTACAACTGTTTACAACAGCTGATTTAAATGCTACTTTACACCCGCAACGGCTGTTTTTGCTGCAGTATGGCGAAAACTAACGTTTCACATGTGATCATAAAAAATTTCATTAAATAAAATTGTGTCGGACTACATAAACTTTTACGTAATCACAAGTTGGCTTTTAAATCCATTCACATTTCTGTGATATTAAACTGCATTCCTATACCTATTGTGAAAATTAACATAAAGTATAAAACTACTATAATAATCGCAAACATAGTCTAACTGGTTGTACTTTTATGGATGGATGTGAATTTTAAGCTTGATTAGTTTTAAGAAATACCATAGACTAACCATGTTTTATCTATGGAAATACTATAGGCAATAAAAAAAAGAAAATTTGTTAATATATTACTACTGTATTGATATTTAATTAGTATTAATTAACATAAACCAAATTATTTTTGAAAAATAATCATCATTTTGCTTAATCAAGCACATAGGGGAGCGAGCTGGCGTAGTGGTTAGAGCGCGGGACTTCAGTCCGTGAGGTCCCGGGTTCGACCCCCGCCAAGTCACCAATGGATTTTATCTAAGTGATAATGCCGCAACCCCTAGGTCTAGCCTGAAGTAATTTGAAAAACAATCCCAGGCACGTGCCTAGCGTCATATGACAAAAAAAATCAAGCACATATCAATTTAAAAAGCATAAATCTGTTCATTAGTTCATAGTTAATATCGTATAATCAAGATAAATCTTTAAGTTCATCTTTGTTTGATATAGGCGAGCGATACGGGTGTCAATTGATCTTTCACAAACCCTCCAAAAATCAAACCACAGATTTTGTCTCTATAAACCATTCAAATACACTGTGCTTTCAACTGCAGCTCCATATTGTAACTTAACGTTTTGAAAATTCAAACGTTTTAACAACAATGGAACAGCTGATTACTGTTAAAGGGTACTTAAAAATGCCACATCTATTTCTATATATAATTCAGTTTTAAAAATCTTTGTACAACTAAATCTAGAGTTCTACTGGACCGATTTTATTAATTAATGGATCGTTGGAAAGCTTAATTCGTGTAGATTTGCAAATAATTATGAAAGTTTGTGTTTTTTATGATTTATGGTAAAAAATTAAAAAAAATATGTTTTCCATAAGAAATACATTGAAAACAGTGTTTTTCACACTTTTTATTTGGGTGAGACTTTTTGCGGCCTTTTTTGAGTGTTTCCAAGAAGTGTACGGTATCAATTTGTAGGAAATTTCATTCTATTTCAGAATATCACCTTCCACTTTAGTCGATTTCCTCACCATTTAAAAGTTATTTGCAGAAAAGCTAAGCAACCTCCGAATTTATAGTAATGAGAAATTACTGAGTTAGGGATTTTTTGTTGAACTTTGTACAACTAAATCTAGACTTCTACTGGACCGATTTTGTTAATTAATGGGTCATTGGAAAGCCCAACTCATGTAGATTTGCAAATAATTATGAAAGTGTGATTTTATTAAATCTTTGTGGTAAAAAGGTAAAAATAACAAGAATACATTAAAAACTGCCTTTTTCAAGTTTCTGTTTTCAAGTTTCTATTTGTAGCCAGGTTTTGGCTGTCTTTATTAAGCATTTTCAATAAATGCATAGTAGTTATTTGTAGTAAATTTTATTCTCTTTCAGAATATCACATCCACTTTTGTCGATTTTTCCTCCATTTAAAAGTTAATGGCAATAATCTAAGTGATCTCCAAATTTATAATGGTGAGAAAATACTGAATTAGATATATTTTTGTCAAACTTTGTACAACTAAATCTAGACTTCTACCGGACCAATTTTGTTACTTAATGGGTCGTTGGAAAGCCTAATTCATGTAAATTTGCAAATAATTATGAAAGTTTGATTTTATTGCATATTTGAGGTAAAACAATAAAAATAAACAATATTACATTTAAAACGCCTTTTTTCCAAGATTATATTTCCAAGTTTATATTTGTAGCCAACTTTAGGCTGCATTTATTGAGTATTTTCCAGAAATACATAACAGCAATTTGTAGGAAATTTTATTCTCTATCAGAATATCACCTTCCACTTTGGTCGATTTCCTCACCATTTCAAAGTTTTTTTCAAAAACGTTAAGCAACCTCCAAATTTATAATGGTGAGAAAATACTGAACTAAAGATTTTGTGGTTAAACGTTGTACAATTAAATCTACAGTTCTACTGAACTGATTTGATTAATTAATAGGTAATTGGAAAGCCTAATTAGTGTAGATTTGCAAATAATTATTAAAGTTTGTTTTTTTAAAGATTTACTAGGTGAAACCTGTCAATTCTGAAAGTCGCTGTTGAGATTGCAAGCAAGACCGTTTGACTATAAATCGATGATAAATAACTCAATTTAAAAAAAAAATTGGGTTGTTCGTGATTTAGCTGTGTGGTTTAGGTACATCCGATCTTAATAATCAATAATTCAAATGGAAGCTGGTATTTTACTGAAGGTTCTTTTAGGTCAAAACAAATAGAATAACGTAATTAGAATTGAGTAAATATAAATATATCTAAAACTAAATTCAATATCCAAGATAAAATTAAATTTATATTTTCCGATTGAGTGATAAAGTATATCTTTAACTTAACTGATTAAAACTAGCAATATCTCAAGTGAAAGCCTTTGAAGTATTTTAAGACGAAAAAATATAAAATAACTTAAATAAAATTTGAGTTACGGATAATTGATTGAAGATAAGTACTAAAACGATTATAATTATTGTTTATTCGTTATATTCAGCAGTGTGCTTTAGGTAGGATTATTAAGATCGGAATCTCAATAATCAATAGCTCAAATGAAAGCTGGTATTTCACTAAAGATTTTTAGACCAAAACATATAGGGTAATGTAATTATAACTGCTGGAATAGGCCTACATCTTTAATTGAAGTAAAAAATAAAAACAAATCCAATTTATATTTTTCCGTTGAGTAATATATTAGATAAATTAACAATGATGCTTGATGACAAATATGTGCTTGCATACCTTTAGTTTAAGGCCAAAATTATGAAAATAGGTCGGGTAGAAGACTTTTAACCCGACCCGGGAAAGAAAAACCAATAATTTTTATAGATGGCAATAATTGGTTTACCAGTATGCATCATCTAAACATACGAAACATGTGTTAATAATTTAATAGCTTACTGCTATATTGTCATTCAATTGATTTTTCTTTGATTAAATGTTGTTGTTCACAATTTGCATTTGTGTTTAAAGTGAGTTCCTTATGTGGTAAGTATGCGATTCTAATGGTATGTGCTTAATCTGTACCATTAATATTAGTGAGTAAAGTGGTGTATGGATTTCACAACCATTATTTTACTAGAGACCGTTGTATTTAACCACAACGGGCTCTGTTGCTAGTTTAAAATAAGCCATAGTTACCTTTTCTACGACCCTTGATAGCATGTGTATTAGGCTGTAGGTTTGATCCATTCTTTTTGGGAAACAGTGTACTATCACCACCTAGTTCACAGTCGTAGCCCAAACCATTGACTTAAGATACTCCTAATAAATCCTGAAGCCAGTTTCTTATGCGTTTCGTAATGTTTAAGTGCACTGTTATAATGTCGGGTAAACATCCCTTTAAGATAATCTTCAGCTGATCCGATTTTGCGGAATGATGAAAAGAATAAAACCTATGGTATTGAGTTTTCGATGTACTTTACTTACTTATTGATGTCCATTACTACACCATCAAGTGTGTAGTAAACAGACGTAATTTTACGTAGTTTACTCTAAAATTTACCAATTACGTAAATATGTCTGATCCAGGGCAGGCAGCTGTAAATCAAAGGTAAAGTCCAGTAAGGAAACATAAAATATCTCTCATAATGATTTATTAAAAACGTAACAAACAACAAGCAATATTTACAACAAAGTAAAAATAACAACATTATCTGACTATTGAGCTCTATAACATTAGTAGTGCTATAATATGTACATAGTTGCTTCTAGACCGACTATGAAGAAAAACGTTTTTTCGTTGTCAAATGTTATTCCCTAAACTTATGCTAACATTAAATTGAATGTATCAAATATGGTAAATGACTTATGGGGTACAATAACAAACATAATATGTAATACTAGTCTATCAGGAATACAAGAGGAACCAATATAATATACATTGCTCACTAAAATTACATTATGATGGCTTTTATAAATAGTGCCCATATTAATTACACATGAATTAAGTATTCGTTAACCGTCGAAGTAAATACATTTGTTGTGCTCATGGACATGTAAGTCTTTATGGGAGTTACAGTTATGAGTATTTTAACGTGTGTGTCGTTTTAAGAAAATACTATTTTCGTGGCTAAAAGGTAAATAAAATAGCTCTTTGTGATTTGGAATCATGTAGCCTAGTATACGAGTAACGATATCCGGTTTAGACTTAAACTTGGAGAAGTGGGCAAACCTTTTCAAATTCTTAGAACAAATTCGTTTTAGCATTTTAGAGGGCAAATAATGATTCTTTTGAACTTAAGTTTTATACACATACAATAATAAAAAATGATTCTTTATACGACGACAGATAAGTTCTCTGGGATTGATATTGAAACCTCAATCACAACAGAGTGAGATAGAAGATTATTTTACCAATTAACTACGGGGAGTAATATAGCCTCCACTAATACAAGGACGTGGCGAGACAAAAGTGGCAACGTCACAGCCCCGGCCTACCGCAAAGCTTCTGTGCAATGTCTGTTTAAATGTCGGCCGATGTGACGTTGTCACACACCAACACTATCATTATTAGAGGAGGCTATGGTTTGTAGTAACACTGCCAGAGTTCGTACAGTTACCTTACATAACGTAAAAATGCCACAATATTCGTTGATAGACACAAAAGTACATACAGTAGACTAAATTCATAGCTACTGTACCAATACTAACATATGTTTCCAGCTTATATTCATTCTCTAACATATCTAAACCGAATTTCGGTTAGGAGGAGATTCAAACGTCCATCTTCACTTCCACAGTGTTCAGTAGGCCCTACCTAATCTCTGATAGCCGTTGTATGTGTTGTAGAAGGCCTGGTATGCCCTGGGGGGCAGATCGTCCACATATTCGTACGTTTCATAAGGTTGCATGGCCATGGCCGGCGACCACGCGCGGGAGTGGTAGTCGTTGCTGCCCGTGTGGCCTCCATGCACGTAGTGGCCATGCTCGTGGCCCACGTGGCCCAGATGCTTGTGGCCATGCTCGGCGTGGCCCGTGTGCTTGTGTGAGCCCTGGAGACTGCCCACGTGTTTGTGCCCGTGGTCTGCATGGGCGACGTGTTTATGCCCGTGCTCCGCGTGCCCGTCATGCTTGTGCTCGTGGAGGCCGTGGAGAGCGTGGGCGTGCTGGAACAAGAAATAGTGGGTACAGTATTATGCAATGCAATACGTGATGAGAACTTTTAAGAGTTTTAAATAAGTTTTGCATCTTGCCTTATGTTATGGAGTGTTTGTTGAAGGTACTAAATATATTATCGGAAGGGTTCACATTCACATTACGCATTACCTCTGTGTTAACTTTTTATGCCCAGAAGCTCTAAATATGTTTGGCATAAAAACCACCAATGCGACCAATATGAAACAACTAAGACAGATTTAACAAGCCCTTCTCTTGTACCTCGGTTGTTCAACCGAGGGTAATAACAAAACCCCCATTTCCTTTGAAATTCTAAGTTAGGACGGAGATATCGGAGGGTTTTCAATTCCTTAGTAATGTTGGGTGCCTTAAATAGCTCTCAATTGAGATCAGTTTATAAAACGCGAATGAAATCAAATTAAATTAATGGGTGGTTATTTTAAAGAGAAACATACGTTGCAGAAAGGTCTTTCCGGATTAAAAGATCTAAAATGTTCTACTCAATATGTGAATATGCAAATAAAGTGGGCTCGGAGCCCCCGGTCTTTGCATTATTCTCATAGTCCATATTGGTTGGCTTTTTCTACCACGGTAAAAGGCATGCGTTTAACCACTTTTTTTAGCTAGGCTCCAGCCTGAGATTGTTTTTCTTATTACTTCAGATAAGGTATAGAGGCTGAGGCATCATCACTTGGATAAAAACCATTGGTGTTTAGCAGGATTTGAACTCGGGACCTCGGGGACCGAAGTCCCGGGTTCTAACCACTCAGCTGGCCACCGTGGCAAAGTAGCATGCAACCTAAGCCACCAGCCATGCAATATTATCCCCTACCTTGTGGTCAGTATGACCGTGGTGCTGGTGTCCATGCTCGGCATGTCCGTGGTGCTTGTGTTCGTGGTGTCCGTGGCCGTCGTGTTTGTGGACGTGATCGACGTGGCCGCCGTGGATGTGCTTGTGGATCACTTCTCCGTGGTGCTTGTGGTCGTTCTCTCCCTTCTTGTGACCGATGATCTTGTAGATGGTGTGCGTGTGTTTGATCACCTTCTCGTACGAAGGGACGTGGATCACGACCTTCTTGTGGCTGCAACAGACACGATCGCAGTATTGCTTGTCTTATAAAGGATGTTTGAGAGTGAAATGTAAGCTTGAGCTAAATTTGGATATAGTTGGGTATTATAAGCAAGATCGACTTTAAAAGCTTGAGTGCAAAGCAAGCTGTAAGCTCTCAAGGAGGAAATAGGTCGATGGATCTCACCAAGATTGTTAGGGGAAAAAATAAAAATGAGTTGTGGGCTTGTACATAAGAAGGTTAGGGTAACAAACCGATGAACAATGTTTCGTACTTGTCTCACTGTGTTGTATTGTTTATTCCATTAGTTGTAGAAGAGAAGAGAATATTTCACTGATTTACAGTGCAGTACCTTCAATTCAACGAAACTATCTAACCTTTTCTAGCATACAGGGTCATCAAAACGACATGGAATTAACCTATAAGAGTTCACAACTACACTCTCTTAAACCAATATCAAATCCCACGTACCTTTGGGTGTTAGGCTATAGATCTATATTCATGAGAAAGGATTTACCATGTTGTAGCTAAACGGAAATGCGAAAACTTAAAAGTAAGAACTTCAAGTATGGCATGCGTGATTTGGTATGTAACTATACAAAAATTATAAAAATCTAATTATCAGAAGGTGTCAAAGTTTCCTCACGAAATATTCGCAATTTTACTGATATACTAGAGGGTGTGACATTATCAACTCCTGTTTTTACTTACGACTCCGAGGTGTCGCTGTCCCCCAAGGCAAGACTTGGAGTCAACCAGCTGATCAATACTATCGCCACCTGCAACAACAATGATGCCAACTGTCATTGTTGATAAACAAAACATTACCTCACAGGTTGACGGCAAATCAGTCCCAGAGTCTACTATCCAAGGGTCGGTGGTCGTGTAAAATATCCCACTGTAGATCTGGGACTGGTTGACATACATTTAAATTATCTTGTAAACGCGAGCTGCTGGTTTAAACTGTACCAAGTATGATTCATATATGCTTTACAAGTGTTGGTCAACCAGACCCAGACAAACGCTGGACATTCAGTCCCACTACGAACCCTCAGTTCTGGGACTGATTGTCCTGCCTCGGATAAAGAGGCAATCAAATCTCAGGTAAATTTCCATCCTTGGGACTGAATGTCCGACTCCAGTCCTCGTTGTTACACCCATGTGATCATGAGATCATGGAACTTAAATTAGTTACTGATCAATATTTTGAATACTCTTCCTCTCGATTACATAACATAACTTGGTGTGATCATTAATGCTTGTAGTTAAATTAAGTAATCAAAGGTGACATATCTTTCACTATTTATCCAACGAATAATGCTACTTTATAATAATGTACTCAAACTGAATAACATCATGATTTCTTTATCGACCCTCCTAGATACTGTTCACTGCATGACATTCCCATCTTACACCGACTTGTTAACGTTACAATTAATCATTTGCATGACTTTCTTCCTAAACTAACTCTTGATGATTTGATCAACACCCCTTGACCAACTGACGCACATAACATTTTTTTAGTTTACCTCAACCCAGCTGATTCCGATGACGTACAAATGATAAACACTTTTATGGGGACAAAATAACATTCATTTTACGTTGGGGAAACTTATGACTAATCTTCACCTGCATTTTCAAGTGAAATCCTTTACGATTCATTTCTTAGCTCAAACCAGATGCAGTGTCAAGCAACTATGCAACTACGGGCAAAGAAGGTTCGGCACGGCTGCACTCTAAACGCGAGAGAAAATGATAAAACCTGCATAACATTGTGTGGAAGCGACCGTGCGAGGTAACCGCACAACCACGTGGATGTGGTTTGAACCACACAACCACAGCGGTGAGGAGGTGTGGGTAATGATGGGTATGTGGTTTATGACAGTTTAAAAATGTGGAGAAACAATTTAAGTTGACCGGAGGTAAAATTGTGTTCTCACCCTGCAAAGTATATAAACACCTACACCGCAGCAAACCTACACACTAAGCTGATTTCCATTTGCCTGATTGGATTTTCACTAAAATATTACCTTTAAATTTTCAGATTTATTTTCTATTTAAATAACATTTATTCTAATTAGTACTTAGGTTTGTTGCTTCAGGGAAGGTAATAAGGTGTGTTTTATAGTCAAAGGTTTTAGTAAGATGTTATTTGATTAAGATAAATAAATAAATTTTCCAAATTAGATTAGAACTAGCTGTGTACCCGTTCTACGCACGGGGATCTTATAGTATCAGTTGAAACTCAGTAGTTGGTTTGCATATTTTCAGATATGCTGGCCAAACTATTTATTATACATAACTTCATTTTATGTCGTTTGTTGTTGTTCCGGATCGGTATGACAATCAATAAAAGGCTAAATTACCTGTGTCCGCCGGTCGTTCCTAATGTATCCTATTACAGGAGATGCATTTCGGCGAAATTAAATCGCCATCATCAGTCCTAATATAAGGTCTTGAGTTCCCCATTAGGTGCGTCTCGGAGTTTTTGAAACACATACAGGAACTGTACACTTATACACATAACGAATAAAACATAAATACACGGTAGGCCGACTTTTATTTTTACTATGGACAAGTAGACGCGCGTCGGTCGTGTGCCGAGTCTTGACTGAAAACGCTCATTTAAAAAATGTAAGTTTCCCAGCAATATACAACACTGATTCAAGGTCTATTTCCCGGTTATCAAAACTCAAGAACAATTTTATGCACAAAGAATCTCTATTTTCATTTACTATTACCCTACAAATTATTGCACTTGCGATTAATTAAATCCGTTATGTAAGGAAAAACGTTTTTAATCTTAATTGGTTTGGATTTGCTTTCAAAACGTGATCGGATATGGTTGCGGTATTTGTAAACAACATTCAATGTAAACATATCAGTGACAGCTAGAAGAAATAATCTTGATTTGAACAGCTGTTCGTTATTTCATAGAAGAATATGTGCTAAACATTGGGAGAAAACTTTACAAAAATCGCACAAAATTGGGTTTTTAAACGTCCGTCATTTTATTTACAAAGTGGTGACGCCATATTTTAATGGCTAAAGACAATCTCGCCAATCCAGTGAATGCATTAAAATGATTTGGAACTTGATATGTACTCTCGTTTTTCAGGAGTAGGCCGCGTAAAATGGCTCTTGGGTCGTAACAGACTGGAAGACAGACAGAAATTTTGATGAGACTTGTTTCGGTTTCTCTAATGTATAACACGTAAAAATAACCTAAAAGTTTATGATTCTGAGCAATGTACAGACAAAACTCTAATTTTATTTATATAGATATATTCATAAACAAACAAATTAGAATAGTTATCTTACTGTCCTCCAAGGAATATTTAAAATTACGGTTAATTCTCCGTAACCATTAAGCGTACAACAACTCTACAACAAACTAATTATTTTGTTTAGCTCTACAAACTGGTTTTTGATAGAAATTGCAAAATTGTATGTTTAGAGGGTCAAAATTGGCAAACACTTATTTTGACCCCATAAGAACCCCCCCCCCCAAAGTTACCCCTCCCAAGGTGAACCGGGAGCTATCCCGGATTCCCATATTCCGATCATGATGGTTCGCAAAAACGTAGATTTACATGTTTTTATCAAATTTGATCATTAACATAAAAAACATTAACGAATATTTTCATGCTCGTAGCAGTAAATATAGGAAGTCGTGTTATTTATATCAGCCTTGGATTTAATAATTGGCAAAGAAAACCCCTTAGTATGCAGGTTTGCTGCAACAAGTCCAATTTATTTTATCTTTGTGTGAGTTGTTTGATTCCGTAATCGTTTTCACAGCTGTTTTCCAAACTCTCGTGTACCTCACTCCTATTGTTTGAGGATGTTTGAGGATGTTTGAGGCCAAAACATGGAGATTGTGTATGCCATTGACTTGAGATGTTCAAAACATAACAGTTTCGTAATGAAGGTGAATTTCTCACCGGTCGACGGACGAGACAACCAGACAGAATTGCAGCGAAAGCATGATAAATTCAGAAGGGCCATCACGTTCGGCGCAGTACTGTAGTATCATGCTGATATAATATACAGAGTGTTTGGATTTAAGTTTCCCTATGTATAAATTTCCTAGTTGACGTTTCGTCTTTTGTTTACTAAATTACAATTCACATGTGGTTCTGCTTCACTTGATCATTGAAAGTATACTGTTGAAATAAATAAAACACAAGGGGGTTTTCCAAAGGGAAATTACCTTTTTCGTTACCATTAGTCCCTACGCTAGATAATAAACTTTAAATACCCCCGCCGCAGCAAACCTGCCGACTAAGCGAATTTCCATTTGTCTGAATTGATTTTCAGTTAAATATATTTTAATAACATTAGGTTTAACGAGTACCTAGGTTTGCTGCTACAAGGAAACTAATAAAGTGTGTTTTTGAGTAAAATATTGATAGCTTAGTACAAAATAAATAAATTTGCCAAGTTTGATCAAAATATATTCATAAACAAACAAACTACAACATTTGACAATATTCTCCATTAGAATAACATGGGAATTTTAAATTTACAATTTTTTAATTTTCTCCGTTACTAATAATCAAACAAAAATACTTTTATATACTAAATTATTTGTTTTTTTAAGCTCTTTAAAAAGGTCTAAAGAGAAATTGGGAAATTTTGTGTTTTGAGGGTCAAAAGTGAGAAAAACCAATTTTTACCCCATAAAACCCCCCGTAAAGCCCCGTTCCCATGGACCGATCATGCTGGTTCGCGAACTCATTCAAGTTTATCCCGCTTTACACCTTTAAACCAAATTTCATCAAAATCGGACAAAAATTACTCAAGTTATCGCGTTCACGGACGTATATATATATATATAAGTCTATATTTATATATAAGTCTATATATATATATATATAAGTCTATATATATATATATATATATATAAGTCTATATATATATACATATATAAAAATTTGAACGAATAGTGTTTTTGGCCTCTGGGGACATCAAAATGAAAAAGTAAATCGGTCCCGGGTCTAGGTCTTACCGTGCCACCTACGGTAATAGCTACTTCCCTATAGGGAAATTCGCTAAAAGGCACAAAAATAGTAAAAAAAATCAGTTAAGTATGACGGCTAGAAAAGGGATGATACAGAGAAAACATTTACTGTATTAAAGAGAGCATTAAGTATAGAGATTGCTATTTCTTATTAGAAACTGCAGAGTTTGCTAGCAGTCAAATTTAAAAAGAACACCATTATAATATGTTTTAAATTTATAACACGAGTAGCTTCTTCCTATAGGGGAAAGCATGTTCGTTTTAATTTAGAAACTGTGAAAATACTTTCGATTTGCCGTCTTCCCCTTCAAAAGCGTTCTCAGACTGTTAAAAAATATAAAATGACAGCTACAACTGATTCACATATTATTTACAGCGTATGCATAGAACTCACAGCCTAGCACATGAAGTAATACGTATCACAGTAAAAGATCACACATTCAGTTAGTAATGTAATAGTTTGAACAAATAAAACAACACGTTTAGTTGTGTTAAAACATCATTGTACTGTACTCATTACGTATATCATATCACGTGTCCTTGATCATAGTGTTTATATCAATCATTCTGATAAAAGTCAGACGATTGTTTATGGATCCAAGCTGGCACAACTGTTCATCAATATACTTGTAATAAATAGCCCTGGCTAAAAAGCCAGATGATCTTTGTCATTAACACAGCTACAAAAACATCTGACTCTAATAACTCTACACTCATATCCTTCGTTCAAATTTTGGCTAAAACGCGTTCAGCCTC